TTCTTGGAGATATCTCAAAACTGCCTTCTACAGTGGCTAAACTAATTGGTAGGAACTACATTCCTACCAACAGCATGGAAATGTATAAGCATTCTCTTGTCTCCACAGCCTTGACAGCATCTGTTGATTTTTGGCTTTTTAATAATTGCCATTCCAACTGGTACAAGATGGTGTCTCATTGCTCATTTCCCTTTTACTTTGTGCCCTAGCCCCACCCATTCCTTCACTGGGAAACTCTAGTCTCATCGCTCTGGTCTTTAATGTTCACCACAAGAGGTTCTGAGAATTCAAGTCTTATTTTGGAGATGTTTCCTTTTTTGCCTTATGAGAAACATTTCAGAGTTTAAAGTTTGTCCAGTTCCAAAATTGTCCTTTTATTGTTGGAATTGTTGGTAATTATGCAACCAAATAGACTAATTTTTTGTGCACTTCTTGGAAATCCCTCAAGGTATATTTTTTCTTCTTTTTTCTAATAATCTTTCTTTTCTAAAATTGAGTTTCAATATTATAGTTCATAACTTGGTTTCACCAATTAACACTTTCATGGATTTCAATTGTGCAAATTCCTAAAACTTCAAAGAAGCTTCAAAATGTAGGGGAAAAAACAATATGACTAACAATTCCATAAATTCAAAATAAGCCTACCTTTTGTTGAGGGGTAGGGAAGCCGTTTTAAATTTTTTTCTCAAAAACAGCATGTTTCTCACTTTAACTCATTAAGCTCTTGTGGCAGGCAAAAAGACATAGTCCTCCAAAACTATATTTACTTCCTAATTCTCAGAACCTGTGACTATTACCTAACCTAACAAAAGAGTGAATATTACCTTCTGAGGAAAAGATGTGATGAAGGATCTTGAGAGGAGACATTTACCCTGAATTACCCAGATAGGCCCCAAATGCCCTAAATCACATGTATCCGTATAAAACAAAGCCAGGCAGAGTTTTCACCCAGAGAGACACAGAAGAGAAAGTGATGTTAACACAGAGAGAGAGATTCAAGGGTTGCAACAAGCAAGGATTGCCAGCAGAAGCTAGAATAGGCAAGGAACAGAATCTCTGATGGAGCCTCTGGAGGGAGGGAGGCTCTGCTAACATCTTGGTTTTAGAATTCTGGCCCCCAGAAATGTGACAGAATATGTTACCAAGTTTGTGGTGATTTGTCATGGCAGTCAGAAGAAATTAATATAGATTTTGGTATCAGGAAGTGAGGTGTTGCTATAACAAATACCTAAAAATACAGAAGTATCATCAAAGGAATAGCCAACTGATATGGTATGGATGTTTGTCCCCTTCAAATCTCATGTTGAAATGTGACCTCCAATGTTGGAGGTGAGACTTGGTGGGAGATGTTGGATCACATTCATTAAGGAGGCAATTCCTTAATAAACGACTTAGTGTCATCCCCGGGGTGATGAGTGAGGTCTTCCTCAGTAAGTTCGCATAAGTGACGCGAAGGCAGAGAGGGGGATTCGAGTGGCACAACAAGTGAGGTTTGCCAGCAGAAGCTGGAAGAGGCAAAGAACAGAATCTCCACTAGAGCCTCTGGAGGGAGGGAGACCCTGCTGACATCTTGGTCTTAGAATTCTGTTCTAAAACCAAGTATTTGATTCACGTAAGATTTGTTGTTTAAAGAGGTCTGGGACCCTACCTTATTGTCTCTCTTGCTTGCTCTGTCATGTGACATGCCTGCTCCCACTGTGTCTTCTGCCATGGGTAAAAGCTCCCTGAGGCCTCTCAGGAGCTGAGCAGATACCAGTGCCATGCTTCCTGTACAGCCTGAAGGACCAGGAGCCAACTAAATCTCTTTTCTTTATAAATTAGCCAGTCTCAAGAATTTCTTTCTCTCTTTCTTTCTTTTGTTTTTGAGATGGAGTCTCTCTGTTATCCAGGCTGGAGTGCAGTGGTGCGATCTCAGCTCACTACAACCTCCACCTCCCAGTTCAAGTGATTCTACCTGCTTCAGCCTCCCAAGTACCTGGGATTATAGGTGCCTGCCACCACACCCAGCTAATTTTTGTATTTTTAGTATTTTTAGTAGAGATGGAGTTTCATCATGTTGGTCAGGCAGGTCTTGAACTCCTGACCTCAGGTGATCCACCCACTTAGGCCTCCCAAACCTCAGGGATTACAGGTGCAAGGCCAGGTGGATTTCTTGTAGCAACACAAAAATGGCCTAATACACCAAGGAATTAGCTAATGGGTAGAGGCTGGAAGAATTCTGACAAGCATCATAGAAAAGCTTAGAATGCCCTGAAGATGCTGTGGGTAGAAATATGGATATCAAGGATGCGGTTGGTGAAGGATCAGAAGGAAGTGAGGGGCACAGTAGAGAAAGCTTTTATCAATCCTCTCTGAAAATACGTATGCTGTTTTGAGCAGAATGTTGGCAAAAATATGAGCATTGTAAGTACTTCTGGTGCAGGCTCAGAAGCAAATACAAAGCACATGATTGAGAAATGGAGGAAAGATGACCCATGTTACATTGGGGCAGCAAATTTGGCTTAATGGTATCCTAGAGTCAGGTGAAAATTAGCAGACCTTGCCAATGATGAACTCGAATATTCAGCTGAGGAGAGTACCAAGCAAAATGTTGAGGGTGCAGCCTGGTATCTTCCTTCTGTTTAGAGTTAAAATGTGAGAGAAAAGAGATAAATCGAGGAAGAAACTGTTAAGCAGAATTTTCAGTAATTTGTTATGGCAGCCAAAGGCAACTGATAAAGCTCTTAAGTGAAGACAGGAACATCTTATCATATTATTCAGAAATGCCAATGCATGGATCATTTGTGTACACTAATATAAGTTTACACAGTCTGCTGTTTTATGTTAGCATTAGATACCTAATCACTACATCAAGATACCTAATCAAAATGTGTTATTTTAATTATATGTCACTTGAACATTTGGGACATGCTCCTATCAGCCCTCGATTTATTTTTTTAATATTAGCCTTAAATAATAAGAATAAATTAACTGAGAGCTGAAGTTCTTAAATTCACCAGTCAATGATTTACGAGTCATTCTTTTGTTCGTTGGTTGGTTTCTTTTTTTGTTTTATTTGTTTTTTAAGAAATGGATTCTCGGGCCCTCTGCAAACCTTGTAAATTGATTTTCTGGGGCTGAGGATTGGATATTTACGTTTTTCTAAGGCATTGTCAATTATTATGATAAACAACCATTTAGGAAACCATTGAAATTAGGGAGCATAGCTGGATTTGCCTACCATTTCTTAAGTACTTGCTATGTGTCAGATCTATATGAGATGAGTTTTATACAATATTTAAATGTAATCTTACAGGTAGATGTTTAATTTCTGCTTTGTAGTTGGCAAACTGATGATCAAAGTAGTAAAACTGTTCCAAATGAATAATTAGAAAAACTTATATTTGAGCACATATATATCTAATTCCAAAACCCATTCTCCTACAGAAAAACCAGCAGTGAAGTGAAAATATTATTTGTTCACATTTCCTTACATATCCTGTCTAGGTGGATGATGTAGGTAAGTCATTTAACTTCCCAAGATTAGTTTGCTCTATTTGAAGAAGTGTATAATAATACGTATCTCAGGCAGTTGGTATGAAGACTGAATTCAATCATGTACAGAATAGCACTTTGGCAACATTAGAGTGCCACACAAATGTGATTTGCTTTACTATGGTTTTTGCTCTTACCTATTTTTTTTTATTTATGGAATAAGTAAAGTGTAACCATGTTGTTTGGCAGAAGTGCCAACTCTCACAAAGTGCCACATCTAGCGCCAGCTGCTTCTATTCTTGTGAATCTAAGGCTTCCTCAATGGTTACTTTTGGAGCCAGACTGGATCAGTGTTCGAGTCCTAGCTCTGCCATTTATTAATGGTAGAATTATGAATGAATCTTACTATGATTTTGATTAGTCACCAATAGAAAGGCAAAGAGATGCTGATAATTTGAGGTCTACATTGAAATAACATAGAATGCTTATAATATTTATGATCATCATCAATGATCACATTACTGACAGTGGCTATGTTAGCGAGTTGGCAAATATGCTTTGTGAGGTACCACTGGGCACTGCCTATGAAGAGTGTCACAGGCAGGAGGTGAAAGAATGCCAGCAGTGAGGCAGTGTATTCCACAGGGCATGGGGGAAAACCCAGGCCAGTTGCAACCCACCTGAATACCAACTCCCACTGTATCTTGGATTGCATTCCTATGCCAGCTAAGTGTTTTTTCAACTGTGGCTATTCTGTAGCAGAGTCTTAGCAAGGGAACCCCAGACAGGGAGGCTGAAAAGAGTTTAATTATTTGGCACATATATATTATGCCATAAATACATTCACAAGCAGAATGGGAGAAAGAATAGATCCCATGGCACTTTGGCAGATGGCCAGTTGTAAGGGCGATCATAAACTACTTGGAAACATTAAATAAGTCAGAATGCTCTCTTCTAGTATTCTAGTAATAATATAATCTAGTAATAATAGCAATAACTATGATTTCATAAATTCCTGTGCCAGGAACCCTGCAAGGCTTGGTATGTACATTATTACTAGGCTACAAAACTCTATTAAATAAAAAACATTTATTACCTCATTCTGTAGATGAGGAAACTGAGGCACAGATAAGTTAAAGCAGGCATGAATGGTTAAATCCCTGAGAAATATTGGCCATGAGATTCAAAATAGAGCCTAACGACCTATAAAGCCCGTGTCCTTTCCACTGCAGTGTGACGCCTCCATGGGACATTCTCATGTCTTGCATCACTAGTCCTTTTGCAACAATCACTGTTACAAGTTATTCTTTTGCTTTTTTATTTTGCATGTACCCTTCCCTAAGAAAAGGCACATGATAAATAATGAAACCATCCTTGGTGTATATAAATAGATGATAGACAGACTAGAGAAATCGATGACAGATTGAGTGTGTGTATATGCACACCATCACACTCTGTGACTTTTTAAAAACATCTTGTGGATCTCCTTAGCAGATCTCTTGTGCTCTGCTTATGTTCTGGCCCAGGTGTACAGAGCAGCTAGTTCACAATAACCTCCCAACCACCAGTGTCATCATGTGCTTTGTAGATGAAGTGTGGTCTACGCTCTTGAGATCTGTTCACAGTGTCCTCAATCGCTCTCCTCCACACCTCATCAAGGAGATTCTGCTGGTAGATGACTTCAGCACCAAAGGTAAGAAAACCACTCAGGCTGTCTCTTGAAATGTCAAAGTTTGACGGAAGCAAAGTTTGGTAGCAATTTGGATGGCAAAAGTATAGGATAATTTGATGAAGCATAAACATGGTACAAATGCATTATTTTATGTGGTGCTTATAGGCCTAAGTCTAAGCACCTATGACTATTAAGAGTCATCTTGATCTCTGTTCAGTTAGTTTTCTCGTTGTAACTCTCCTACCATGTTGGAATGATTTTCTAACTACAGCTCCTTAGAGATGAGCACTTTGAAGTATCGGAGTTTCGATGTTCTCTACAATTGCACAAATCCCTTTTAATAGAATCACGATTAAAGGGAAGCCTTGCCTACCAGTAATAACTACAGTTAGAGTTAGACTCTATGGAAGGCAAAGAAATTGAGGTCTCATGGCTTCTTCCTTGAGAGCAAGGCACATGATATGTCAATTAAGTGTTAAGAAGACAAATTGCCAATAGGACAAGAGAGACGAGGTGATTCCAATAAAGTTCAATAGCAGAATCCACCGTCCTTTATGTTTGATTTTTGTTTATTACAGTGAAGAATCTCAGTCTGGGTTGTCAAATAACTTGTGTATGTAGGTGGTCTGACAGCCACATTACAAATTCCCAAAACTGAGCCCATTTTTCAAAAAAGTTTAGAAAATAGTAAAGACTTGGCAATGCTAATAGAACAGCTTAGCCTTGAAATATGGGAAGTTTCTTTAGCTTCAGAGTTTCTACCATAATCACACTGAGCTCAAGAAGCTGTGGGATGACAGAGAAAAACTGGCTGAAAAGTGGCCTTGAAATCATAAACAGGAATAGTATCCACTTAGTAAGGAGGTAAGAGTCCCTTTAGGAGGGGCAGGTCCAGATTCTGTGGGACCTGAAGCTTATTCAGTCTTCAGGGTCCTGTCTAAGAAAACTTTATTAGAAAATTTTCTGGAAGCCATTCCTACCTAAGATAGCTGTCATTACCTTAATTACATGCAGAAGTGACTGTAGGTCACATAAACATAACTCATACAACCCACAGAAAAGTGTTTCTTTAGCTGAATCCCTTCATGGCCATCTTATAAGAGAGAAAAGGTAGGATAGAAGGTGATGTCACAGCAGAAAATGGAAGTGTCAGCCTGGTACAGTGGCTCATGCCTGTAATCCCAGTGCTTTGCGAGGCCAAGGCATGCGGATCATCTGAGGTCAGGAGTTCAGGACCAGCCTGACCAATATGGAGAAACCCCACCTCTACTAAAAATAAAAAATTAGCCAGGCGTTGTGGCACATGCCTGTAATCCCAGCTACTCAGGAGGCTGAGGCAGGAGAATCACTTGAACTGGGGCAGTGGAGGTTACAGTGAGCTGAGATCACGCCACTGTACTCCAGCCTGGACAACAGAGACTCTGTCTCAAAAAAAAAAGAAAGAAAGAAAGAAAGAAAGAAAGAAAGAAAGAAAGAAAGAAAGAAAGAAAGAAAGAAAGAAAGAAAGAAAGAAAAGAAAACACAAAGAATAGAAAATGAAAACATCTTATTTGCATACATTGTTTAGCCTCTTTCTTGGGTCTTGGAAGGGGCTTTTGCAAGAGGTGGGGCTGAGAGTGGAGGCATAGTTGTGCAAAAGCCTGAGCTATATTTAAGGCAAATCTTCCCCTGCCTTGACAAATACTCAGAAAAGGTGAGCCCTCCACTGTATCACCTTGCAACACTGAAAACAAGATTTGGGGTTTGAAAAATCAGACAGCTTAGAATATTGAACCAAGACAGAATCCCTCCAAGAAAATGACATCAGAAAATAAAATTATGAGCCAAGGAATAAAAGTTAGTTTTCAGCATTTGACTTTGGGGAGGCACTGCTGATACTATCTAGACCTAGTTAATTCAAGTATTTCCTGGTTTATCTTTACTCTGATGTAGACTACCTAAAAGATAATTTGGATAAATACATGTCTCAGTTTCCAAAAGTTCGCATTCTTCGCCTCAGAGAGAGACATGGCTTAATAAGGGCCAGGCTGGCAGGAGCACAGAATGCAACAGGTAAGATGCTACTTATTTTTTTCTTTGGTAACATTTTTGTTTTAATTTAAAGTGTTTCTCAAGCATACAGAAAATATGAAAGACCAGTACAATGATACCTATATATGCATCATGTAGTTCCATCAATTTTAAACAGTTTTTATAATATGTGCTTTATCATACACATACATAGACACCTACTATATATACTTTTTTCCTGAACCTTTAAAATGGAAATTACAGACATCATCACACTGCATCCCTAAGTGCTTCAGTAGGCATCTCTGAAGAACAGGAGCATTCTCTTAAATGAGCACAGCTTTTGTACTTTCATACTTTTTTTTAAATTTGGGAACTAATTAAGTTTTATACCCTGCATTTGATAGTTTGATCTTCTTAGTCTAGAATATTCAATTCCTCACACTTTGTTTAAATACTATTGTGTGTGTGTGTGTGTGTGTGTGTGTGTGTGTGTTTGTGTACTTTTAAGTTCATGCCATTTGTCTGGTACAATTAACCACGTTCTGAAATTTTTGATTTCTTCTTGTTACCTGCAGGATAAATGTTTTTGGAGTGAAAATATTACATAGAATTTTACAACATAGGTGATAGAAATGAATATAACATAATATCACCATTATTGTTGATACTAACTTTGAGAACTTAGTTGAGATGTTGAGAGCTAGATCGTTACTTTGGGAGTAAGAAGTAATCTGTGGAATGATACACTGAGGCATGAGAATATTCCATTTATCTTACAATGTTTTACCCAATGGTTTCTAGTATCCACTGATGATCCTTGCTAAAATAAGTTATTACACTGAGGGCTGCAAAATTGTTTTTCTATAATCCCTTCTTTTTTATTTAGCTGGCATTCATGTGTAAGGAAAAAATCTCTGCCTCTCCCGCTCATGCTTTCTAACTCTCCCTCCATTCCCCCTCAATTTCCCTCTCCCCTCCCCGCTCCTCCCCTCACCATTGTGGACTTTTGGCTTAAAATTAAATGTGTATTATATCACCATTATTCTTTTTGGTGCTCAAATTGTCCCAAATTTGACCACTAGGAGCTTCTTCAAGCCTGTGCCCTTTTGACCTGAACCATCAGTATTTGAAGACTTCATAATCTTTTAATTCTATAATCCTCACCCCTCTTTTCTCTGGCCCATGTCTGTTCTGCCTATAGCTCTTTCTGCCTTCCCCAAAGGCCATATGCTTTAATTTCCTCTCCTCTTTTTAGTGTGCAGATGTTGGTGAGTGAGTGAGAAGTGAATCTATTCTATGAGTATTCTAAAAACAACATCAAATATTTGGGTTCATGTTTATACTTTTTTATGGTAGGATCTGTGCCCTGTAATATTAAGTGACTAATACCAGGTGCCATTCTGAATACTTTGTATATTAACTGATTGAATCCACAAATAACTCTGTGAGATGGGTACAATCACATCCTCATTCTACATATGAGAATATACAGGCACAGTCAGGCTGGGCCTTACACAAGCTCCCCCATGTAGTCAGTGGTAAATCCAAAATTGGCACCTGAATGCCCTGACTCCAGAGTCCATCCTCTTATCTACTACACCTTGAGGCCTCTAGACACTTAGCCACTACTCCAGCCCTGTAAGCCCTGGTTTTGCAGATCTCCACCAGCTTAAATTCAAGCATGTTCTGATGGGAAATTATCTACTTAACCTGTGTTTAATTTTCTTGTAACTAAACCCCATATTGGAAGCTCTTCTGATTCCATTGGCTTGCTAACAAATGTCTTCTCTTTGTAGAGGAAATTTTTAGTGAGCAACAAATACATCACACCAAAATTGGCATTGCAGTGACAACTAAGATTCTTGATAAGAGACTACATTCAGAAAAATTTAATGGCATTCCATGCTTAATTTCCTTTGGAAAGTAATTATTTATAAATGATGTAAAAATAGGATACTCAAGAAATAGTTTGAGTAGGTGATTTTTGAGCTGAGGTCTGAATGAAGAATATTCCCAAGTACATGGAAAAAGAAGTACAAATGTCCTAATACAGAAATGAGCTTGGCATACTCAATGTAAAGAAATAAGTTCATTTTGACTCATGGGTGCTGACCACGGGGGAAAGTCATAAGATTCATTTGGGGAACAAGGAAAATAACCAAGATTTTCTAAAGTTTTGTGCATCACTTAAAGATCGTAGGCATTATTCTCAGTATCAGGTGAAATCAATGAAGAATATTAAAATGGGAGCAAAGTTGTCTGATGAGCATTTTGAAAGCTTATTCTGGCCACTATGTAGAGAATGGATATTAGGAAGATCAAAAAGGAAGTGGGGAGGCCAGTTAGGATGCCATTATAGTTGTTCAAGTACCAGGGAGGTGCCAGCGTAAATGGGAGAAGTGATCAGGTTCGTCATAGATTGTGGACATAGAACCTACAGACTTGCCATCAGATAAGATGTGAAGAGAATAAGAATGAGAAGAATCAGAAAAAAACCCTAGGACTGGAATCTGAAAAATAACTTGGTGGGTGGTAGGCTTAAAACTGGAGGAGCACGTTTGGAATTGCAGTTAAGTTTTGATTTTGTCTGTATAAATTTGAGATGAAGATTAGACATCTATATGCAGAAAGTAGAATACAGGACCAAATATGGGTTACCTATTTTTAAAAAAATTATCTCTACCTGCATGGAGCATGAAGTATTCTCGTAGTGGCCTCCAGCATAGTCCAAACTATTAGATGACATAGGTGGATTGTCTTAGAAGGGGTATTATGAGCTTGATTAAAACAGTTGCAACTGTTTGCTCAAGTACCTGCAGTTACATCCATAAAGTAATTTCTTTGAATTTAGAAAATCTGAATGTAAATTTAGATTCATTAACACCCTTGAGAATATTAGCTCAGTTTTGGTGCAATAACTTTCAAACCATTTTGACAATGGCTTGTGTAGAAATAAATTTTTAATCACAACTCAGTACATGTGTAATCACATTCTATCAAATAACATGTGCAATAGATTCTAATATCTTCTCTTCTATGTTATTTATTTTTTAGATCCTGGCCAATCCCAATAAATTGATTTAGTGATTGATTCACTAAGGGAGTCTACAACTCTCAGTTTGGAAAATCCCAGCTAGGTGTATTTTAATTGCTTGCCACTACCTAGTAGAGAGACGCTTTCCAAACTATCTGAAAAGGACTTTTTTTTCTTTTTTATTGGCCTAACCCTTTGTAAATTATAATAAATATTAATTATCTAAAAAGGAAAGTAAATATATAAAACACAAACCCATTTTTATTATATATAAAATATATGTGCATATGTATCTACATGTATATAAAGACAGTAAACAAATAATAAATTAATTAATTTTGCAAATTGCTATAAAGTTTCAAAATATATGTTCTCAATTTCTATTGTTATCTCTCTGTAGACAGCAGGGTCTGTGGCCTGCACTTTAAGCAGCATTAGTGGAGGCTGGGTGCCTGAGAATTTGGAAAGAAGAGAAATGTGTGTCTCAACAGCTTTGCCTAAGGATATATCAAATGCCGAAAAGTACACCTGACCCCTGTGGGAAATTCAAGGGAATGCAGGATCAGCTTTAGAAGAGAATGTAATTCAGAGACGCATTGAGAAGAAATGGCAGGTGTGGTGGGTACTCTCAGACTACCCTGGGTGTTCCACAGCTCTCAAGAGTAGAGATAGGTCAGAGACTAAGGGCCTTCTGAAGAGTCCCTGTAAATTAGAGGTCAGCAAAGACAGGAGACAAACATTTTCTCTAGGATGCCTCAGCCAAACAAAGGGTTTAAAGATATGACTCTGAGTTCAGAATCTGACAGGCCTTGACAGATACTGTTCCCTAGAGATTTGCCCTTTAGGACCCATAGAAAAGGGAAATAACAGGCAAAGATGAGATCCAGAGATCCAAAGACATGCAGAAATAGAATTCAGGTGGCCTGTTTTGGTCCCAGGGTATTATGAGGCTCTCTGAAAGTCTGCAAGAGGCTCTCTGAAAGCCCGCAATCATCTACAAAGTAACAAGGGGCCAAGCAGTGATCTACCTTACTGTTAGCAATGCTTGCTATGCATTCAGTTTCCAGGGCATGTTAGTTCTTCATCTGAATCTAATTCAGGCAAAAAGATTAGGTCCAGTCAGTTGCTTGCTATGAATGAGGAGGTTGAGAGGCCCAAGCAGGATTTCAAAATTTGACAGGTAGGCTAGGGGCAATGGATCTCTAAGAATTGCTCACAATATCAAGCCAACAGAATTAAAAAGATAGAGTAAGTGAGACATCGGGGAGCAAGTAGATTATCTGCAGCCCTTCCTAGCATGGAACAGACCAAGTGATTTACTGCCCTGCCCAGAGGAATTACCATCAGACAGTTTGACTAGTGAGAGTCAAAGACTAGATTTTCATTTCCCTCATGATATGGCATGTAGCAAAATTCCTGACATTTCTGTGAGCATTCTAAATAATCCCTTGGCTAACTTTAAGTAACTGGACAAGTGACATCTAACTTCTAGCAAACTCCAAGGCCTCCTAAAAGCAACAGTGGACATCTTTCTGCAAACTTTTATAACTTGTGTCTGCTGTAGGCAAAAATTGTTTTCTTAGCATTACTTAGGAGGCATTATGTAAAATTAAATGGCAACCCAAACCCGCATCCCTCAAGGAATCCTAGACATATCAATCCAGCATTAACGGTACTGCAGCAATATTCCAGGCTGGTACACTGGATATAAGTGGGGGTCCATGCTCAACAAGGACCCAGAATTGTTTGGCACATTGAACAGCTTTAGGTTAGCCCCATCCCCAAAATGTCTAAGTTACAAATGAAACCCATCCAATATTATTGGGGCCTATGCTTAGAAAACAGAAAATCCTATTCATATTCTCTAACTAACCTCTCCTTATATCTCCTCTTCCCTACACTTTCCAAATCTAGTGTTCTATAGCACTATAGGGTCATTATAGTTAACAACAATTTATTATATATTTTCAAGTAACTATCAGAGAGGAGTTTGAATGTTCCCAACACAGATAAATGATAAATGTTTGAGGTGGTTGATATGCTAATTACCCTGATTTGATCACTACACATTTTATGTATCAAATATCATTCTGTACCCCATAAATATATACAATTACTATGTGCCAATTTAAAAATTTTAAATGATTGGATTGATTATTCTGCCAGTAAATGGTACTGGCCATTTTTGAAGAATTTAGGTATCAGGTAGATCTTAGAAATACCTTCGTAGGACAAAGCTCTAAAAGGTTAAGTAACTTATCTAACCTGTCTAGGAAAAGCAGAGCTTGGATAGAAGGCAGATGTATGAATTTCAATGCTATGTTCATTTCGCTATGCCTCTTAGCCTCACAGGATCAGGAACAGCATGTACAATGTCCACAGACAATAACCACCACAATCGGAAATCCCACCAAGAGTCGGCTACACAGAGAGCTCCTGATTTCTCATCCAACATAGGCCTAAGATTTTACTTTAAAACAAAATGTCTGAAAGTAGAGCAAAAGCATGCATGCATAGGAGGATTCTCCTCTTCCCCGAAATAAAACAATGTAAAATTCCAGACTATGTTTTGAGCAGATGCTGCTTCCCTTAGGTCCTGGCAGCAAATGAATGAGAATTTTCATAGTGATCTGGGCCAGGTGGGAAGTGAATGCAGGTTTGGGGACCCATCCTGCTGCCACTGGGGACGGAGAAAGATAATCCAGGCCCCTTTGACTTCATAAGGCTGCTATGAGGATAGGGACAGATGGTGCAGTAAAGACTGCTTTTTAAACTCTAGGTCCGCATGGATCACAAGTAGGAATCTTTTTTTAATGCATTGTATACCACAAGTCAAGTGGACTTCAGCAGGCCACGCTTCATACACCTAGATGACCCTGTAAATCTTCCCATGACAAGGGAGAGAGTTGTCCCAAAGGTACCATCCCCAAAGGACACCCTAAGGAGATGGCTTAGTTTTTTTGGGCTGCTATAACAAAATACCTTAGACTAGATAATTTATAAATAGCATATATTTGTTGCTTACAGTTTTGGAGGCTGGGAATTCCAAGATTAAGGCACTACCAGATTTGGTGTCTAGTGACAGCTCACTGCTCAAAGGCAGCACCTTGTTGCTGTGACCTTACATGATGGAAGGGCAAAAGGGGCTCACAAATGCCCTCCAGCCTCTTTCATATGGGCACTAATCCTATTTAAGAAGGCTCCACCCTCATGATTTTATCATGGGGTTAGGTTTCGAAATATGAATTTTGAATTGACAATACATTCAGACCGTGCAGGGAACAATACCCTATCATTGTCAAACAAGCTTTAATGCCCTGAGAATAGGACCCCTCCAGCCTGGTCGGGAGATGAAACTGCTGTCTCCAACAACAGAAGACTATATGGGAGTGAGGCACTTTAGCCTTGCACAGACTCCTCTAGAACGCTCCACACCAATACCTTACCCTCCTGCAAAAATGCCATTGTCAGCTAAGCAATTAATGTGATGCTAAATTCCATTAATTGAGATGCAGTTTGCAGATTTCAGTGATAATGAAATATCTATCATCCAGATAACTATCCCCATTTCGTTCTCTAAGCCTTCCCGTTCTCAAAGCTGTGCCTCTTTCTGGTATTTTTTAAGAAATGTAATCCATGGAATGAGCTACTTATCTTCTAATATCACATTGTCGTTTATTAGCTGTGCAACCATAGAAAAGTTAGCTAGGTTCTTTAGCTTCCTTGTTTCTTAAATGGGAATGAAAACTAGTTCTAGATGGCAGGGTTGTTGTTAGCACTACATAAAACATCCATGAAGAATGTTTAAAACAGAGGCTGGCGTAGAATAAGCATCTAATAGATGACGCTGCTCTTACAGGAGTGTCAAGAGCTGAGCTGAGTATCCAGGTATCATAGTCAATTAAAATGATAAACCAAAATGAAAGCAATAGTCAAGCCTTAATCCCTTACTGCAGCAGTATCAGCAGGAGGCTGAAGAGGAGAAGGCACCAGCTCCTTCCATATTCTATTTTTCCCCTGGAATGTGGCTGAGTGGTGGATCAGAGCAGAGCAGACAAGAGGAGCATTTCACTGCCTGCCCAAGGATCCCAGCACAAAAGGCTCCTTCTGTTGCAGGGCCCTGGGATCCAGAGTAAGAAAGGGAAAAGCTAGGAGTAGAAAAGCACTGAATACTGAGTCCGAGTGAAACAAAGTGTCTTCAAGACCCATTCCACCTCCAATTAGGTGGTCCTGGCAGAGGTTTTGGTGTGAATGGAGGCACCTGTGTTAGAAATGAAGACAGGCAGAAGAGCAAGTCCTGCAGCCAAGGAGAGGGTGTGAGTCCTGGACCGCAACTCCCTTCAGAGACTTCAACACACTGGCTGGACACCAGAGTGAGAAAGCAGGGTTCCCCCATGAGGCCTGCTAGGTAGAGCCTTTGTATTACCTGTGATTAGGACTGAAAGATCACACATGGGATCTGGACCAGGAGCTTATTTCCTGGGTTGTTACTCTTTCACACACATACATCATAACACAAACACACACACACACACACACTTCACTTCTACGAGATCCTCTGGAGCGATGTAGATGCTACTGTAGTTTCAGTGGGGAGGGAGAGAGTGTTACTTCACACAACTAACAGGAAAAAAAAAAGAGTTCTTAAAACTACTTCTGTCTTCCAAGTTTCTTTTCCTTTTTTTTTTTTTAACCGCCTCTAAGTCTTTTTTAAATTGTATAAAAACATAGAATATAAAAATGTACCATTTTAACCATTTTAAAATGTATAGGTCCATAGTATTACACACATTCACACTGCTGTGCAGTCTCCACAACTCTTTTTACCTTGCAAAAATCCAACTCCATACTGATTCATCAGCAACCTCGCATTCCCCACTCCCATCTCCTGTAACTCTTCTCACAGTACCTCCTAGCCTTGCCGTTTTGCCCACTTTAGTTTACTTCATCCCTATTATGTGAAGTAATTTTTCCTCTTAATCATTCCTAAGGCCAAACTTGTCATCTCTGTCTCTCTGCTTCTTACAAACAGCTTTTGTGAACAAATAAGTACTCAGAGATTTCATCACCACCAGGCCTGCTTTACAAGAGCTTCTGAAAGAAGCACTATGCATTGAAAGGAACAACCAGTAACAGCCATTCCAAAAATATACCAAAAGGTAAAGAGCATCAACATAATGAAGAATCTACATCAACTAATGGGCAAAACATCCAGCTAGCATCAAATGGCAGTATTAAACTCACATATATTATTATTAATCTTAAATTTAAATTGACTAAATGCCCCAATCAAAAGACACAGACAGGCAAATTGGATAAAAAGCCAAAACCCATCGGTATGCTGCATCCAGACCCATCTCACGTGCAAGGATACACACAGACTCAAAACAAAGGGATGGAAGAAGATTTACCAACCAAATGGAGAGCAAAAAAAAAAGAAAAAAAAAAGAAAGAAAGAAAAAGAAAAAAAAGAAAAAGAAAAGCAGGGGTTGCAATTCTCACCTCTGATAAAATAGACTTTAAAGTAACAAAGATCAAAAGAGGCAAAGGAGGACATTACATAATGGTAAAAGGATCAATGTAACGAGAAGAGCTAGCAATCCTAAATATATACGCACCCAATACAGGAGCACCCAGATACATAAGGCAAGTTCTTAATGACTTATAAAGAGACTTAGACTCCCACACAGTAATAGTTGGAGACTTTGAAATCACATTGTCAATATTAGACAGATCAACGAGACAGAAAATTAACAAGGATATCCAGGACTTGAACTCAGACCTGGAACAAGTAAACTTAATAAACATTTACAGAACTCTCCACCCCAAATCCACAAAACATACATTCTTCTCAGTACCACATCACACCTACCCTAAAAGTGACTACCTAATTGGAAGTAAATCACTCCTCAGTAACTGCACAGCATTTCATAGGTTTAAATGAACTATTGGTTGGCTGCTTGTTTATTTTCCTCCCTTATTCCTTCCTGTCTGCATTGTTAAGCACAATTATTGGCACTAAAGAGGTTTTTAATACCCATTTTTAGACTGCATTCTACCTGGGCAATGAAGCAAGACTCCCATTCTCTCTCCCTCTTTCTCTTCCTCTTTCTTTCTCTTTCATTTTCTTTCTTTCTCTCTTTCTTTTGTTCTTTTTCTATTTTTCTCTCTTTTTTCCCAAAAAAAACACAAAGTCCCAAATCCTGTACCCCCAGCGTTAATGGGCACACTCTCTTAGAGGGGACTTAGCAACTACCTTTAGTACCAAGTATTCTTTTCAGATTCTTGTTACCCATTCTAAGTGGTTTATCAATATTTTCCAAAAATGAATTATGTTTACACCACAGGACTCCTAGGAGCAAAGTTACTCTCATTTCATTATGAAATGAAATTACAGTGATCACAAATTCAGTAAAAAAAAAAAAAAGATAATTGCCTTTACAGCCACATTTCTAGAGCAATCATCAATACCTTTGAACATGAAGTACATACATTCAATATATTGTGTTTTCAAGGGGTTTTTTGTGTGTTTTTGGCTCTCTAGGTGACGTGTTGACATTTTTAGATTCTCACGTGGAATGTAATGTTGGTTGGCTGGAACCTCTTCTAGAAAGAGTTTATTTAAGTAGAAAGAAAGTGGCCTGTCCAGTAATTGAAGTCATCAATGATAAAGATATGAGGTAATATTGACACATTCTACAAGATACTTCTAAGCACATCTTTAATCACATGCAGCAGAAAGTGCTGAGTATATGCCTAATATTTTCCATTTATTTAAGTAGATAAACTTAGATTTTTAAAATCCAAGACATATACAGTTTATCTACTTAAATAAATGGAAAAACATGATCAATATCTTGGGATTAGAGTATGCTGATGCAATAATCTATTTGGTCACTACAAATTCTTAACTCCAAATACCAATAAATCCTAATACTCATTATCTATTTTTTCCCCTTTATATTTAGCTGAACCCCAAAACATTTATTTACCTCAAGTTTAGTTCTTATTTCTGTGGGAAACATGTATGTGCATCTAAGTTGCTCCCATATTTTTTCTTCAAAACTGACCAGGATGTTATCAAAAGAAAAGTATAAGTTAAGCACAAACAATCAAGCCAATTCGTCACTAATGCAAATAGTACTTGTAAACTTTCTTCAACTATTAATAAAAAGTAGTGATCTTAAATCATCATAAGCACTTGTTTCATTCATTTGAATACATCGTGAAGCTAAATTGATAAAGTATATAAAAATATGTATGTGTGCATGTGTGTGTGTGTGTTTGTGTGTGTGTGTGTGTGTGTATATATATATATATATATATATATATATATATATATATATATATAAAATCCCAGGTAACATTTTGGTTTTTTTTTCCTGGATTAGTTATATGACAGTGGACAACTTTCAAAGAGGCATCTTTGTGTGGCCCATGAACTTTGGTTGGAGAACAATTCCTCCAGATGTCATTGCAAAAAACAGAATTAAAGAAACTGATGTAATAAGGTAAGTGTATGAAATTTAAGACTAGAAAGTAGTCATGTATCTCTTTGTAAAGGCATAAAAAAACAATTCTACAAAACAGCTGCACCTTGTTATGCTATAGAAATCAGGAATCACAGTTCTAGTCAATAGATTACCAAAGCAAACACAGTATTCCTGAAAAATTTGTTCCCAAAACTCATTCTTCACTGGTCATTTGTACCCTACTCAGACTTGAACGCAGAAAAATTTACTAATGCTATCCTGTCTCCTAGGATTTGCAACCTAAGAAACACAAACTAGCAAAATATGCTGCATACATACTATATAAACACATGCTATATTAAAGTAACCGTAAGTGCAAATTAAAAGTCAATAATAGTAATAGAAATATCATTCTAACAATAGCAATGGTTAGGATTTTCTTTTATAGACTAATCCTACCCCCTCCATGAGAAAAGTGCCGGTCTATGAATAAATTTAAAAATTGACTCAGAAGCTAGATATGAATTCAAGTCTGGGTTTTTATTCCCAAGAAACTGCATTAAAGAACACAGCTCAGACCTGAAGCTGAAGTGGAGGCTCCCCATTACTTCTTCGGAATCTAGCTAACTGAGCAGGCATTCAGCCAGCCACAGGAAGAGCAGCAGGGGGCGTAAAGCATTCCCTGTTGGAGTGACCTCCACTTGAGCATACACAAGCAAGCCAGGCCCAAGAGAAAGCCAGGTCCAGACTGTGCTTTGCAGCATGCTTTCCCCAAACTTACCCCTCAATCAATCACGCTGCCTTCCTTGCCAGGTGTGATGCCTTCAGAATTATTCCACCAAGCAAAGACGTGAAGGTTCTACCATTTATTAAGCACTCTGTGGCAGGCACTTAACTCTCTTCATAACTCTAGGAGGCAGGTAGAAATATTCACCTTAAAGAGATGAGCAAATTGAGACTTAAAAGAGTTAAGTAATTTCCCAGGAAGGGTTGCAGTAAGCTGAGATCAAGCCACTGCACTCCAGCCTCTGCGACAGAGCGAGACTGTCTCAAACTAACAAACAAACATTCCTGGGGAGTTTGTGTCACAGTATAAAGGACAAATAAGAATACTGGCTCCAGGATGCATCTTTGCTGAACCTAATCAAGCTCTACCACCGTGACCTAGGGATCCCATCACTTAAGCCTTATTTGTGACTCCGTCCCAGGGCTTCCCTGCACTGGGCAGCTATTCTGAAAGCTTCCTACCGCCAATGCAAATGTATAGAGGAACAACTCTAAAAGTCGAGTTTTCACGAGATGCAAGTTTTAAAAACTTTTCTTTTTGTAGGTGCCCCGTCATGGCTGGTGGATTATTTTCTATTGACAAAAGTTACTTTTTTGAACTTGGAACATACGACCCTGGCCTTGATGTTTGGGGTGGGGAAAATATGGAGCTCTCATTCAAGGTATTACCAGGTGTTTCCCTAATTTTCTTTACAATAATAAGTTTATCAATTTTAAATTGTTTCATTTTACTCCTATAATCAGATATGTGACTGCCACTGAGAGGAAATTTCACAGAAATTTTAGGGTCTCCGGATTAATTCTTTCATATCTCAGATTGAACTTGAAAGAATCAATTGCTGTCATGAAATTTATTGGCATTCCTTAATATTTCACAACACCATTTCTGCTTGTAAATATGGGGGAAATGACTTTCTGCCACTCAGTAAATGCTCTGGATGTCATACGTGATACAAAATAACTCTCCTGGAAGATCTGTCTAGTATGTTGGAAGGAACAGACTCAGTGTGTAATGGATCATTGCGGAGGACACAAATGACAGAAGGACATAAAAGTACTCTAAAGCAGGCCACCAACAGGTCAGGTGTACCTCATTGTACAGCTTCTTTGGACACTTTATGCAATCTTTTATACGATCATTGATTAACTTCTGAGAAAGCCTTGGCAACAGCAGTAGTGAAGCTTGTCCAAAAAGCAATTGCTTTCCTATTGGGTGGGTGGTCTGCATATAAAAGGGTGTAATTTTGGAGCTGCAGATCAATTGCGTATCACAAGCTTTTTGGTTCTTCCCAAAATAAGAGTAGAGGAATGCGAACAAATGGACATCCACACTTCTTTCCCTGCTTCAACCAAAACAAGAACTCATATTTTACAAAATGGGATTCTGTGAAAATTTATTTAGAAATTAAAAAAAAAGAACTTACATTGCAGGTTAGGAAAGGAAAGAAATTGCATTTTACTAATTCTAAAATGATCCATAGCAATACACACAATTAAATAAACCTGTCGAGTTTGATTTTCTATTGCAAATATGTTTTTGAAGTTGTGTATTACTTCAGAAAAGGGGAAACAAGGTTGCCAGCCAGGTGGTTGCTTGTCATTGTTAAGTGCTCATGATTTGTCGATAATCATTTGATAATTGATGTTTATCATCAAATTGTTCCAGGTATGGATGTGTGGTGGTGAAATTGAGATCATTCCCTGCTCCCGAGTGGGCCATATATTCAGAAATGACAATCCATATTCCTTCCCCAAAGACCGGATGAAGACGGTGGAGCGGAACTTGGTGCGGGTTGCTGAGGTCTGGCTGGATGAGTATAAGGAGCTGTTCTACGGCCATGGAGACCACCTCATCAACCAGGGGTTAGATGTTGGCAACCTCACCCAGCAAAGGGAGCTGCGAAAGAAACTGAGGTGCAAAAGTTTCAAATGGTACTTGGAGAATGTCTTTCCTGACTTAAAGGCTCCCATTGTGAGAGCTAGTGGTGTGGTAAGTTCAAGTGGCAATTTAAAATCTTACTCCATAAAAACAAAACACAAAATCTCTTTCAAAAATGTGTGGAAAGAATGAGTGATTACATTATAAATAAACACCAAGTATGAGCATAGATGGGACAAAGCATGGCTGAGAATTAAATACAGATAAATTTGAGGAAGGCTACCAAGTGGTCAGGTTCATTGATTAACTCAACAGTCACCTATTGAGTATCCATAGATCTGGTAGTATTTCAGACTTGGATTACAGGGTGATGAATAAAGTAGACTTGATCCTTTCCTTGTGGAGCTTAATTTGGATAGGGAAGAAGATTATAAACAAATAAGCAAATAAGGTATAAATACAAAATATAATAGCTCTTATTTAGGGAACAGGCTGCAATTGATAAATCCTCAGTTAGAGTGGTCGAGAAATCCTCTCTGAGGAGGAGACTTTGTAACTCAGGCCTAAAACACAAAGTGTCAGTCAGCCAAGCTCTAAAGAAGAGTGCTAGGCAGAGGGTGAAGGTCACATAAAGCCCTAAGACAAGTGAGTGTTCTCCATCCAAGCACTGCAAAGAAGACGAAGGTTGTTGTCAGGGTGTGAAGGAGGGAAGAATGGCACCAGGTGAAGGTGAAGAGGAAGGAAGGAGGCAGATCACACAGGTTCTTGTAAGCAAAGTAAGAATTTTCTTTCTTTCCTTCCTTCTTTCTTCTGAATGTAGTTGGCAGCTATTGAGCAGAGTTAAGCAAGAAAATGATAAGATTCAATTAGGGTTTGTAAAGATTTCAAAGAGGTATTTAAAATAACAGAAATTATCAGAGAATGGCAGAAAACATTGCAGGGCATGAGGGAAGGTATCCAAAGGACAGAAGCTAAGCCAGATAAGGTGGCCAGAGTACAAGTGTAAGAAAACATCAAGGAAGAGGAAATACTGGGGGGAAAGCCATTTCAAACCCATGCTTTAATTTGAAGGTGCACTTGAAGAGGATGGTAAGGCACGAGGACATCTATCATAGTGGGGTGAAATATGATTCGTCAAGCCTTCCGCTAGAATTCTTTGCCAATCATGCTTATTTCTAATCTTTTATTTCTAATTTAATTTGACTTTATCCGCAGTGTTCTTTTGTTTTATTTCAGTTTCCTTTTTTTTTTTTTCATTCCATAAATTCTTTTAAAATGTGACCATTAGTTATCCTGCTCTTTTAGGCCAAATTTTTTCATTTCTTCTAGAGAGTGGATTATACCACGCTTTCTGCCTGGAAAAATCTCCTGATAGCAAGGCTCTTAGCACACTATTCCTCTTGAAAGTATTAGGGAAATCCAGGAAAGGTGTGAAAGACAGGAAACTAGTCTCAAAAACTGGTTCTGTTTTTACAAAATTCAACTGATAAGTAAGTATATGTGACCCATTTTTAGGTAACGTACTGTATTTAAAAATTGCCATCCTTATAGGTCCAAATAGAAGAGCAGCTACTTTAGGTGGCTCAACCTGGTAACTTATCAGACACTTTGGATTTATATATACTAGTCAAATAGCAACATGTCAAATATAACTGTAAAATAAATTTACAATTTTTAATTTCAACACCTAAGCAGAAAAAAAGAGGAATTTCCATGATAGTAATTTTTCCCATTTCAACGACATAGAATTTCAGTAAGAGTATTACTAAACTTTAACCACCAGAGGGCACTAGAAAACTACCTTTTAGCTCCACTGTGTCTTAACTTGTGTGAGTTTCTACAAAATTTCTGAAGATCTCGCCTAATAAAACAGCCTTCTGCTGATGCCTCCACTATAATATATCAAAATGTAGCATGTATTTTTTAAAAATGATTTTAACAAATTCCTTCTATTTTTCTTTGTTGCCTTCCTTAAACAAATTTCAGTGAAGATGTAGTTTGCTTCCTTCTGAAGCAACCAGCAGGGAGTGTTATTACCTTTTTTAAAAATTAGGGCCTTTCTCCAGGTAATTTAGAACAAATTAAGCAGGACATTATTTTAAATAGACAATATTGGAAAGTTCACAGAAAATAAACTCCACAACATCTTTTCCTTACTTGCTTCGTTTTCCTTCTTTAAACCTCCACACACAGGACTTCAGTGAGTTTTGCATGTTTTGTAATAAGAACAAATATTTTATTATTGAACCAACAACATTTGAAGCTAACAATCTCACCAGTAATGTTTTTTACACTGTATTAAACTGGTTGTGAGAAGTCTATAACTTCATTTCCCTTTTTTTCAACTTCCGCAAGTAGAAATGTAAATCCAGTGAAAGTTTTGTTTTTTATAATAAGAACAAATATTTTTTTATTGAACCAACAATATTTGAAGCTAATAAAAGAATCTCACCAATAATGTATTTTTGCACTGGATTAAACTGCTTGCAAATAGCCTAATGTTTAACAATTCTATCATAAACTGGGGAATGTTTACTTCCTAAATTGGAAAATGAAATAATACAACATGGATAATTTTGTAAACCACTTCAATCTTCAAAAAAATTCATACACTACCTGATTTTTTAAAGATTAAAGTGGTTTACAGTAAAAACATGGATCAATTATTTTTAAATAAAAATGAAAATTTCTAAAAATGATTAATAATGAAATAAAGAATAACAATTCTAAAGCACTTCAGAGATGTCTATATGAAGAAAAGTATTCAGCTGGTGTTAAAGTGCCTTTAATGGCAAAACCCACAATTAAATAGTCTCCTCAGTAAATTCTAAGAAGAACCTAAAAAAAAAAAAAAAAAAAAAAATCTTCAGGTCAAGCAAGAGAGGGGCATGTAAGGAACAGAAAAGTTTTATCTTTCCTTCCAATGCTTTTCAGTTCTTGGAGGGATTATACAAAATAAACACAAAGATATCCATTAAACAGGGGTTCCCAAACACTGTGCTGACCTATGTTACTTGTGCTGCCTCAGGGTTCCATGGTCAAGTTCATTTAAGAAATATTCCAACAACATTCTGAGCAGCAAGTGGAACATTAACACCTTGAAGATTTTGAGAAGTTCTGTAGTGGAACCACCTGTTCAGCTCTGTGGAAACCAGAATTTTCCAACTTTGTTTGGAGATAGAATATGTCTGCATGATCCACAAATACAGGAGCTTATATAATATTTATCTCTGCTACAGTTCAGAGAGCAATTGCAGGATGCTTTTTTTCTGTTAAGCCCTGAGATTATTCTACCTTCATATCTTTCTATTCACCTTCCTCTCTGAAGTTTAGGGGATGGATCTAGGGGGTATTGAACCCTTCTGTGCCTTGAGATGCCCACATTTACTAATAGTGAGCTGCCTCCTCTAGTATTTGTCATTTTCAATTGCAAATATAACTTTCTCTGAGGATTTTTGATAGAGATTTCATCCTTCCATTATTGCTTTGTATCTTTCTCTACCAGGCACCTCAGAAGTAGTTACCAACCTGGGACTATTTTTAATGTTTGTTTCTATGTCTGTGATGGTTCCTATCCAAGGCAGGGGGTACAAATCTTCATCTCAAACCCAAATGAAGGTTGGTGTAGTTTCAGATTCTCCAGAGGAACCCAGCTTCCTTGTGGTCACCCTGTGATAATGGGCAAATCGTTTATCCTACTGCAGCATTCAATTGAAGGTCTAACTGTTTTTCCGCTGCTATGTGAAAGACCAGAATTCCAGCTTTTTGGCTTATCCATGCCTCTGTTTTTCATCCACCCATATTAGGGAGCAAGTCTTTCTTGCCAACCATGCAAGTTTCCCTCCAGCTCTTAATTTTTTCTGCATATTCTGATCCCTGAAGATGTCCCTTACTTTCTTGCCCACTAAACTAAGCATGCAAAAGTGAGGACCAAACTACTGAGCCCCCGTTTGCGAAGTCTGGCAACTCTGTGAGCATCCAGCCTGCATCAGTGCAGCACCCTGCATTAGAGCTCCTTGGTAGGCATTGTAGAACAGGAAGAGCACAGATAGTGTCCCTGGCAACAAAGACTTCAGCTCCTCCCAGCTCCAGAGGCATTCTCTGGACATATCATATAGATTCTGCTCTGCACAGCTCTTCTAGAAGTCTGAAAATTCTGAATTGCACTGTTAACCCATCATCTCATTAGCCCTGCCCATGATGTCAAAGGGGGAAAGGAAATCAGCATTCTTCTGCATTAAATGGTGACTTATAGAAAGCTACCTCCATATTTGACCTTGTAAATGCATTAAAAACCTGGGGGCCTGCCAGAAAGTGCCTTTATGCTTGGCTCTATATTAGCTTTCGTGACTTTCCTATAATGAGTTGTAGCTCGCTTGAGTCATTTAGAAGATTCTGACAGGGAATCAGCTGGAATCTGCTGTTCTTTGAAGGACTCAATTTATCTATGATTCAGTGCTTAAGCAGTCAAAAAGCTTGAAGGGGTCAGTCAGGGAACATAGCTCATAACTCTTGTGTGTGCATTGACTTTTAGTATACACATTAGATAAACTTAAGACAAGAAAATAATTCTTTTCATGCCACCTTTGCTCATTTTTTATTTAGCATTCTAGGCAAGGGTTAATTAAAAGCTTGTACCTGTTGGCTCTCTGGCTGATCGCAGGCCTAAGTTGACAGATTGAAGCTGTGCTATTACGACATTACATTACGTCTCTGTTAGAGATAGCAACCAATAAAACTGGATAGTGCTAAGTGATGCTAAGCTCTTAACTATCTTTTAACCTTATTATGGTTTTATATTCTGTATTTTCTAAATGAGTCTGAATGTCTTGTTCTACTTTAAAATGTGTTTTTTAAATTCATGTTTTATATTATGCTTCCTAGCTTATTAACGTGGCCTTGGGTAAATGCATTTCCATTGGAAACACTACAGTCATTCTGGAAGACTGCGATGGGAGCAACGAGGTATGCTAAACTGTGGTTTTCTCTCTCATGGTAGCTGATAGGTGCAGGGTATGACACATTCATCGCTCCCCTGAGAAATTCATCTTTGCCCAATAGAAAAATAATTTTCTAAATTTCTTTGTAATAAGAGGGTCCACCATTAACACAAAGACTAAGGGAATAAAGGTGTGGGTCCTGAAGTCAACTCACTGGATCCAGAATGAATCCAGTCCCTGCACCATCACTAGCAAAAGCGTGTTAACTTCTGCAGATTCCTTAACCTTAGGGTAAATGGTAGTGATAATCATGCCTACGTCTAGAACCGGCGTGAGGCTGGCGGTAGGTAATTCATATGAAGCACGTAGGACAATACCTAATGTTCAGTGCTCTGTAAATGTTTTCTGTAGTAATAGCAAAGATAAAAACATAAAAAATGCATGACATAGATAAAGAACTAAAGAGAGAACATATTTCTAAATAATCATTCTAAGGAAGCAGTCTTATTCTCTGATTCCATTCCTTTTTCCTCTCATTCTCCTGCATTTTAAGGGAGTAATGGAAATAACCAAATCCATGATCCATGGCAGAAACCCCTCTAGGAAAACTTCACAAACTCAGAGCAAAATGGTTAGTAGAGGGAGTAGGACCAGGAAGCGGGGAATAGAGACTCCTTCCACAGTGCTGGAGGTGAGCTCTGAGTGATTTCACTTCCCTCTCTAACATACGTTCCCTAACAGTTCTGTGTTTGTGGAAACAGTGACTGGTTTGAGTGGCAAATAGGACTCAGAGGAAGATGGATTCATGAGTAGATATCAGTTCCCCAAAATTGCAGATTATTCTTTGGTAGAGAAATTATTTTGCAATAATAACTAGGCTCATCAAGTCTTGCATCTTTCCTTTGACTTTGAGATACTGTTTATATTTGTTAGTGCATCCCATCTCTACCTCTTAACGCAAAGCTGCTACTAGAAGAAAAGGTATCTCTGTTGCTGTAGTTAGCTGTGGATTGTAAACTGGAAGCCAAGGCTACTCTTCCTTAATTAGGAAAGAGAGGAGTCAAAAGGAAGTGGAAAAGTGTTAAAACCCATTGAAAGAAATAAATTTCACTTACTAACAAAGAGGAAATAAAGTCATAAATTATAAAAACAGAACCACAATTTGTTCACATTATATGAAAGTATTAAGTTTTTTTGTTGTTGTTGTTGTTTGAATCCTAATTGCAGGGACTTTTTGTGCTGGACTAACCAGTATTTTTTTCTGAAAACCCAAGTTCTATTCTTGATGACCGCTGAGTCTTTCTCAATTGGATGCTGGGAGGCAAAAGCATAAGTGATGCAGCCTTCACTCCACACAAAGCCCCAGCTCCCTTTTAGTCTTGTTGCTCATTTTTAGCTTCTGCCTCTCGTGGTTTGCTTAGGTAATAAAAAGTTTTTAAAAAGTGGAGGAAGTTAGCTCATTTTAGGGAGAATTAATGAGGCTTAATACCAAGATAGTGACTACAACATTCATCCAAAAAGGCTCAAAAGGAATAAGACCCTTAGATTGAATCATCAAGCTCTATCACTTACCTCACCTCAAAAGTCTCCTTAGTTATGAACCTTAAAGCAGTTGAGATCTATTTTTTCAAGGTAATATCTGGCTTCTCTTAGTGGCACATAGCTTCCTTATATTATGCCATGCTTCCATGCCTCCTACATGTTAACGTTCACACAAATCACCTGGGGACGTTGTTACACTGTAGGTTCTGAACCGGTAGGTCTGTGATGCAGCAGAGACTCAGCACTTCTAACTAGCTCTCAGGTGATGCAGATGGTGGCCCAAGGACCACCCTTCGAGTGACAAGGTCCCACATGGTGGCTTTGATCTAAACTGATAATCAAAGTTAAACTTCAGTTACAAGACAAATGATTCATTAGGTAAAGGCTTTAGATAGATTTTACCAGAAGCCTATTTTTCAAATATGTTTTTATTAATACAAAACAACAAATTTCCCACAGACCCAGAGCATTAGAGTAAATTGACCAGGCAGATAATACTAGGTTGTAAACAACTGAAGAAAAATTTTTAAGGTTTAAAAACGTGGTCTCGTTACCTAAATTGGTATTTATTTTAGACACTGGCAACTTCTCCAAGAGCAGTTTCTATGAACTGGGAGAGGCCAGCTTGGTAACAACCTATGATTCCTCATGTTGTTAGCAAAGAAAGACTAACCTTTCCTACAATTGGACAAAGCCTTTATGATAATTTTATACAAGGACACATAAAAATCTTCATCCAAGAAATTTAGGGCTGTGACTGTTATCTCCCTGTAGCCACCCGTGGCTTAGAATCTTAATCATGTGGTAGCCCGAACGTTCCAATTCTTGGAGCACCAGACTTGTCTGGGATTCAGAACACTGAAATGACATCCATATGCAGACAGAACTAACTGCACTAAATAATTTTATTATTGTAACTAACACTTATTGAAGGCTTATTGTGTGCTAAACACTTGATAGTCATTACCCCAACCCTCTGAGACAGATACAATTGCTATCCAACTTAAAAACTAGAAAAATAAGATTGGACAGAGTAAATAATATGCCTGTATTATCAGAATTACAAATGATAGTACCAGGGACTTGAACATAAAATGTCAGATCATAGTTCTTATAGTCTTAACTATTGCAAACAAAAATGTTTGACAAAGCCCCTGCCTCTGTTTGCTGCCTGAAGTGACCTCTTTATTCATTTCCCTCACAGCTTCAACAATTTAATTACACCTGGTTAAGACTTATTAAATCTGGAGAATGGTGTATAGCCCCCATCCCTGATAAAGGAGCCATAGAGCTGCACCCTTGTGATAACAGAAACAAAGGGCTAAAATGGCTGCATAAATCAACACCAGTCTTTCATCCAGAGCTGGTAAGCAAAAGATTCGTACCTCTTCTTTACCACAAATTTGACTTTTGATCAAATAGGACACAAAATTCTCATTGTCAGCTTCCTCAATCGGAAGTTTCAAGTGTGTTTGTGACAACGGGATTATGTAAAACTTCACTCAGAGAGATACATGGGTATCTCTTGTAAGTAAGGACTTGACGAGTCCTTTTTTTTTTCAAAATTTATTTCAAATTAGTTATTTTATATAGAAGCCACCAAATTCTTGTAGTTACATTGCTATCATTTGCTTCAGTCAATCAACAACACCACAAGTAAGGCTTAAAGGCTAGAATTGGTCCCCACTGGTTATCAGAAATGCTTATACGGGCAGGCTGTGGGCTACAAAAGAAGCCACATGCCTCCTACAAGTCCTGCATTTTAGAATGAATCTGATTTCTCATTCTGTCCCCTTTCCATACAAGAAGACTTTTCCTCAACCCCTACAGGGCCCAGAGACCGAGGCTCCTAAAGCTCTGCTGCAGACAGCTCTCACCAGCTCACCGGGGCCGCTGTGTGCACCCTTGCCAGCTTTGCATTCAATCACACCACATCGGTAGCTTGAAACTGGCCATATTGGGAGTATTTATAACACAGAAATCGGAAGATGCTACTGGATTGGATACTTTTCACAAGGTCCAGTTGTTCTATTTACCAGAACATTGCTGGTCTACTACATTCATGCTCAAAGTTCTCTCCATCTTTCCCAGTTACTTTTAACAGAATACAGAGTCATAAGCTTTGGTGTAGGAGCTTGGGGTTGATAAGAATAGTCTCAGAACTGCCCTCTTCGATTTTCTACCATCTCTCTAGCAGGTGGCCACCAAATCTACTGTCTACAGTAAATATTTGGGTATTTGGAGACTCTCAGTTTGTCCAGGGCTATCCCCAAAGTAAGCACCTTTTCTTCCTAGAGGTATCTCGTTCCTTTTAACAACACAGCCAATGACTATTCTCTTCTCAACTTTTTTCTTTCTTCTCAGAGTCAAAACTGGAGCCTGAGTAATGCATTCTCTAGTCTTTCTCCCATTCGATCTTCTCTGTTATATTTCAGCTGCTTCTGGGCAATTCTTTTCTCTTTAGTGATAATGGTTATTATTGAGTTATTCAGAAAGGTTAGGAATTATTAGCATATATGCTGCTAATTTTATTTTGCATAGTGTTAGGAAATCCATAAACATGTAGTGTAGTGAATAACTTAAATCTTACCTTCTCCCTGTGCCAAAGTCAAGAGGGAGAGAAAGAGGAACGGGGGGTGGGGTGAGGAGAGAGTGAGAGACAGAGAACATGAATGAGAATGAGAACTAAAACACATTCTTCATCTCCAGAATTGAATCTTGGGAAAGATGTCAAGGTTAGCAGTTTCTCTCAAGCAATAAGCTGATTTGGTAAAGAAGGTAATTAAGATACCAAAATTAGAAAGCCTGTTCTCTACCTTGTTTGTACCTATGACTTCGTGACATTTTACACAGCTGCCTTCTGCCTTGGTTTTCCCTTTTGATGCTACCAAATGTCCTGGAGATGAGTAGCTTGGTGATCAGCTTTCTTCTTTTTTCAGTTTTTCCGTAGTTTTCATGCTGTATCTCCTAGGTCCTCCAATACATGTAACTCTTAAACAACAAGAGAAGTATAAAATGAGACTCCTTTACAAATCCTTGGCAATACTTAAACATCATATGTCCAAAATCCGGCAAGGGCAACAATATTTTTGTAGGAGCAGTGTTTAAAATAAATTATTTTGAAAGTCACTCCTGTTTGAAAACCTTTTAAAGTTTCAAAACAACATGTGTAATTAAGATCATCTTTGTCATAGTCATAGGTAATTGAGAAGATTTACAGATGAAAAAATATATAAGCCATTAGTAAGTTCTATGAAAATTATCTACCATTTCTAGAATATCCACTAAATATTAAGCAATAATAGAACTTTCTTTCATGCCATTGGCTTTTTCCTAATCTGGATTCTGGACATCACGTATCATGAATTGTCAGAGATTATGGTAAGGAACTCATAAATAAAATATATCACTGCCAGAATTTTGTAATCCAACTTCACAAAGATACGCACTTTAAAAATTAATTAACTTTATGTTACAGTATGTATTTTTTCTTTACCTTCAATGAAGTAGTTATCATCTATCAAGTCCAATAAATGTCATCTGTCATGTTTTCTCTTTAAAGAATATAATTCTCAGCCATACCATCAAAAAAATGTGTCTCTTGCCTCCTGAGGACTTAAAAGTCTTACAGCTTAGAGGGGGATGATTACTTAGTCTGAAACAGAGACAAATTTAATAATTTTCAAAGTCTGTGTTTATGTTAATAATTTAGTTCAGACTAATTATTTAAAAATAAAAAAATAGCTGCCTATGAATTTTTTTATTGATTTTCATTCTTTATACCGCAGTTACCAAATTCAGCCTGTGGCTCATTCCAGCTCCTCTTTCTCTCCAGGTGGATCACATCGTTTTTGAAAACAATCAGCAATTATTATGCTTGGAAGGAAATTTTTCTCTAAAGATCCTGAAAGTAGCTGCCTGTGACCCAGTAAAGCCATATCAAAAGTGGAAATTTGAAAAATATTTTGAAGCTTGAAGTGGAACTGATGTTTTTATGTAGTAAACCCATCAAATACTGTGAAAATAACACTGAACTTGGTAACTCTATTTCTCAGCAGTAGTTTAAATTTTCAATTGTAACAGCATTTGGATGGGAGATTTTTTTGTAAATCACGATATTTGGAATACCAAAGGACAACTCAGGAGAACAGTTCATCATCAGACTGAAGTCCTTCTTTAGAAGTGAGTGACCTTTTGAATTGCCTGCTTTCCACCTTGTGCTGGAACTCATCCTGCAAATTTCCCTGTGAAAGCTAGCAGGTAACCAGAAATGAAGACAGAAGGATTTGAGAAAGCATGAGGATATTTCCAATGACTGTGTTTGATAATAATCAGCTCTTCTGGCCCACAAGTAGGGATGATCTATGAGAACTTAATTTAGTTTTTTATTTGGGAATATTTTCATCAAACAAAAACTTCTTGAGTTTTTATGGCTAGAAGTCCTCAGACGTCCACAGCTATCACATTTGTGAAATCCCTCCAGACAAGATGCATGCTTTCCTAACAGTTTGAAATAGTATTGGTTTACTGCTGGTAACCTTACCTGATGGTAGCATTTTGATCTAAATTACACAATGGCTTTTCCCAGTCCGAGTTAGTGGAAAAAATTTTAAGTGAGGAAGAAGAGGCCTTCAAATGCTTATTTAATTCTAGGTATAAACACTGCTTCCGCTTATTTGGTGCTTTTAAAACGAACGACAACTTTAAAGATTCACGATACCAATCACTTCCTAGATTCATGTGGATTTTTTTTTTTAAGGCAATTAAAAAGGGGCTGGATTATAACACACTGTGGTAACCAAAAATACATTTTTTTTTTTTTTTTTTTGAGACGGAGTTTCCTCTTGTTACCCAGGCTGGAGTGCAATGGCGCGATCTCGGCTCACCGCAACCTCTGCCTCCTGGGTTCAGGCAATTCTCCTGCCTCAGCCTCCTGAGTAGCTGGGATTACAGGCATGTGCCACCATGCCCAGCTAATTTTTTTGTATTTTTAGTAGAGACGGGGTTTCACCATGTTGACCAGGATGGTCTCGATCTCTTGACCTCGTGATCCACCCACCTCCGCCTCCCAAAGTGCTGGGATTACAGGCTTGAGCCACCGCGCCCGGCTCCAAAAATACATTTAAGCATTGAGTATGCTCTAGTGCAGGGCCACGTAAGGGGAGTGAAATGAGTAAAGCAGAAACAGAGCTGCCGAAATTTTCTTTTACGTAAAATAATAAAATACTACTTTAGATATAGTAGCATTCACAGGGATAAAATACGATAAAAATGGGTTCTGAAATATTTCAAAGGTAAAATAAAGTGAAGCAAACATCATTAAAAAGGAAAGGAATGAGGTAAACACGTCTTAGGAAGAGAGTTAAGAAAGTTGCCCAGGATTTAGCCAAAGAAGGAAGGGGATCTGGTATCTCTATGAAGGAAAAAAGAGCAGATCCCTCAATGTGGACCCAATGAAAACATTGTCAAATTTGGGAAAAGTTAAATACTGATTTGATCTAAATAAAGCCTCTAATCTTAAGTATACCAATAAGAAGTCTTACTAATCGGGATATCCTTTTTGATAAGAAAACTGATGCTGAGAGGACAAATTACCTAAAAATCTAAAAATCCAATCAAGATTAAAATTCAGGTTTCCAGAGACAGGGCTCATTCTACTGCCTCGGGCCACTGGGCTAAACAAATCTGCTCCACAGAATTCCTTAGAAAGAGACACACAAACTTATTTGCTGAGATTAGGTCCCTGGAGGACAACCACACTATATTCTTGTTAATATGTTAAAAAAAATATGTCGACCTTTGTTCAGTTGAGATGATGGTGAAACAAGGTGTCTTTCATTCTGACTTTGGGTTTAGTGTTTAATTTTAACTCTCAGTGAGTTACATTAAAAACAAAGCTACAACTAAGAATGGGAAGAAGAACTATTTCTGCACATTTGTAACATATTTAAGATGTTTTATTCAAATAATTGAAAATTGTAGATGAATGAGAGAATGACCAGAACATGAGATACAGTTATGTGCTGCATAACCATGTTTTAGTCAACAATGAACCACATATTTGACGTTGTACCCAAAAGATTATATTAATAATATGGTATTTTTACTATACCTTTTCTACATTTAGATACACAAATACCATGGTGCTACAGTAGCCTGCAGTATCCAACACAGTAATATGTACAAGTCTGTAACCTAGCAGCAACAGGAGTTCCATATAGCCTAGGTGTGTAGTCGGCTACATACACCATCTAGTTTGTGTAACTGCACTCTGATGTTCACACAATGATGAAATTGCCTAATGACACATTTCTCAGAATGTATTTGTGTCATTAAATGGTGCATGACTGTAATTCTTTTCAAAACAGAGCCATATGGGGAAAGGGGGAGTCGGGGGACACAAGTCAGTTGCCAAAAGACTAATTGAGTTACTGACAAACTGAATATACTAGGTGTCCCATGTAACTCTTCATGTAACTAAAACATGTTGAGAGGTTTTTTCCCCCCAATACATAGGCTCTTTCCTTTTCCAAAAATAGTCTCCACAAAGAAGTCAACTCTGTTCTGAAAAAAAAAAATGAATTATGCTTTAAACACACTTACCTTTGGGTATATCAGCTAAAGGAGGTCAGATCGTTTTCTTTAACAGAACCGTCTGCAGTCTTCTCAGTTCACATTCTTTCTGACTTTACCTTGACATACTTACTATATAAAGCTATATTTAAATCTACATTGTCAATACAACAAAGGATTGTTTTTGAACATTACAAATTTGTTTCTGAATAGAATTTTATAAATTGCTTTTATTATATATTTGCTTAGTTACTCTAAGAAACATGAAACTGATCACTAGTTGGGAATCTATATAGGCCTAACCTTGAGCGTATTGATTTGTTATGAAATCTACTACCATTCTCTTAAGGATTGTCTTCTAAATTTTTTCAGGAGACTGGAATAAAGGTATCAATGCTACTAGGTCTTTTGGTACTTCTAATGATAAGCCTCTGGATGAGACAGGTCTTAATCAGCACTGAATTATTCAATAGGGGGCTGTATGAGAGGAGTTACAGATTTTTCTCTGGATTAACTTAGATCTTTGCCTTTCCTTAAAAAAAAAAAAAAAAAAAAAAAAACGAAGTATACGCATCTTGTTACCTTGAATACAAGGGTGGTCCTATTAATATTTAACAGGACTAACCAACTTACCAAGCCACCTAAGTGCTTCTGAGACTTTCAGTTTGCATAATCTCTTTCTCTTTTTCAATAGTTAACCCTGCGCTTCTGCCCTAGTCTCTTGTAAGCTGACACAGCTGTTGTTGGTACAACCGTGTTTTATCACCAGCATCAGATTTGCTCAATACCGCTTGCTGACATCCCCTCAGCTGTCATTCACAGCAAACCACCATGTGCCATGATTACAATATATTATTAGCTTCACCACACTTATTTGGAAACATTCCCTTCAACATTAAAACACCTTGCTTCTAGTATTAGTTTGGGACTGCAGAGGGGGAAAGATATCATTTTCAGTGTGTAGGTGCTCAATATTCCCAACCAACTTTAATTTCATTAATGGCTTATAATTATTTTTAGGGGGCATACATGCAATAGAAGGAGGTTGAAATATGACAGACAGTACCATCTTTCTTCATTTTAACATCTCCGACTGAATTCCTATGTTCAGAATACAAGAAAGAAATTTTAGCGGCCAGTCATGGTGGCTCACGCCTATAATCTCAGCACTTTAGGAGGCCAAGGCAAGTGGATTATGAGGTCAGAAGTTCAAGACCAGCCTGGCCAACATGGTGAAACCCTGTCTCTGCTAAAAATACAAAAAGTAGCTGGCGTGGTGGTGGGTGCCTATCATCTCAACTACTTGGGAGGCTGACACAGGAGAATCGCTTGAACCAGGCAGGTGGAGGCTGCAGTCAGCCAAGATCGGCCACTGCACTCCATAATCTTTTATTATTCAAATGAAGCTACTACCTGGCTGTCGCCATGACACCTGCACAAGTGGCTTTACCTGGCTGGTGCAGTGATGCCATGACAACCTCACATGTGCTGACAAGGAAAAGGGAGCAGGAATCCCCATGTTCAATGTGTCTGGCTTCCAGGTACAGCTGTTAGTTTTACATATGCAAGCCTCTAGCTAGCATGTCTCTGGTTGCAACTTGAGTTTTCAGGCTGCTTTGTTAGAAAAAAAATGCTTTGGGGGGTTCTTTTTATTAAAGACAAAACCCACTGAGAACTATTTTACCCTTTCTAACTTCCTAAAATAAACTTTTAATGACTCCTGTGTTAATATTACCAACTCTTGATTCCTTTAACCTTTAAACGAAGCCGGCAGATTGCTCATCATGAACAGAGATAAAAAGTTAAAAAGTTGGAGTCCTTTAAAACGCAAGCCATGACGTTTTATTTCTACTCGTTGTGTAGATTGTCACTACTGTGCTTTTGCAGCAACTTTTGCATAGGTTACTCAATAGTTGCTATAAGACAAAATGCCTTACAATTAGAAAAGAAACATTAACCAGAGCTATTGTACAAATATTTATTTTTTGACAAATGGCCATTCCATATAAAGTATGGAATAAGTCGTATAAAGCATTATATATCCCTGATGAGGCTTAATGGACTGTTATTTCAGGTGTTGGTGGTGTCTGTGTCTAAAAGAAACAAATAACATCACAATAAGCAGATTTAATGCCTGTTTTCAACCTAATGGAACAATCATTTCAATTAGGGACCCTCTGCAAGTTTATGTGGATCTTTGCTTTGTAAAAACACAAACAAAACACAAGGGAAAATTCTCATTTTCTAGCAAATATGGCAACTTCTAATACGCTGAGTTTCTAATAATGAGTTGCCATCAAATAAGTAATAAATAATTTCTTTGGAAACAAGAGCTTTCTATTTTTTTATTAATTGACAGATATCTACTAGTTTAAAGATATTGGTCATAAGTATCTATATAATAAAGCCTTTATATTAGATGCTAGATTAAAATTTTTGATAGCATGAATATATTTTTAACTGACCATTCAAAAACATCAATTTTTGTGATTATGCTGTATGTTTGTATATGTATATACATGTATCTATATATTTTTTGATACTTTGAACTGGAAGAAAGAAATATCAAGAATTTCTACTCACAACATAAAGAAAATCAAACGTTTTTGGGTATTTTAAGTCTTTCAGGTGTATAGCTTTGTCCGCATCTGGCCTGTTGCACAAAAGTATCTCAAATGAACTTTCACTCTGGATACCACTTTCCAACTTGAAGGAGTAATCAAATTCTCAGTTATCAGGAAGCTTGTTACCATACCAATCGGTTTAAGATTACACATACGTCTTCTCCTTCAAACAAGTACCCCAAATTTGCTAGTTTTATACATATTAGGTACAAACAAGATAAGCCAAAGATTAAGTAAGTGAATTTTTTAAAGGATTGCCTGAAAACATTTGCTAAGGGGAGAATAAAAATAGAAACTTGGAGTATAAAGGATGTTGGAATTAAACATTTTTAAGTACTTTTTTTCTGCATCTGATCAACTGAAGTTATTATAAAGAAGGAATCAAGTATGTAACTTTATATTTCTAGATAAAAATCCAAATTACTTTCTAAATTCCTTTCCAAAATTCTCCTGTGCTGGCAATTAACTACTAGAAATCATCATTTGATTTTGCAGTTTGCCATGTTTTGAGTGAGTTCAGTTGCTTATTACTACCCATGTCATTGTGTTTGTGTTGATGGCCTGGCTCAGTTATTTCATGATCTCCATGAACTACATACACATTTTCATTGTCTTATATACTGTGTTTTGAAGTTAAGTAGAAAATTGTAGGAGTTATCAGTAACCCATTCATTGTGTTATGTTTCTGTCTGATATTTCAGTATTGGCCAATATAATTTTTGACATTGCATTTTACAATCCTCTTATTTTTTTAGAGTGATGAAAGTTCAAGTTTTAAGAGAAGTGGTTGCCTTTCTCATACTGTCAAACATATTTCTTCTTTCTTATACTCTGATGCTTCATCCTTCTCCATAATTTTCTATTGTTACTTATTTAAAAGTTTTCCCATCACACTGAAAAACTTAAATGTCGATTGTCCATTTGAAAATGTGCCAAAAGTACTATTTCATGTAAATATGCAGAAACAATTACTATAAAGATGTCAGCATAGTTTAAATGTATTACTTTGATGATTACAGAGATTTTTTTCAAGTTGTTCGTATTAAGCTGTAGCTTAAACAGAATCTCAGTTCCTTAAAAAATAATAGAAATGTTTCATGTATATTACATACCTACCTACCAGAAATCATTTTTAGAATTTTATATACAATCATTTTAAGACCTTTTTGAAATAAATAATGCAAAAGAATTAAAATAAAGTGTTCCCTTGATTTCTGAAGAGGCATTTATTAATTATCTTAGTAGCTGCTGATATACAAGGATTCTTCCTAAATTTTAAAAGGCAGCTAAACAAAATAAAGTCTAGAAACCAGAAATAAAGACACAAACTTTTATTGAGAGTAAGTCAGAGACAGCAGTTCTTTATTTAAATTGTAGATAGGTAGGTAAAGGGAGAGAAAGAGATACTAGCAAATTCTGTAACTTCGAACGTAGCATTATATAAAAGATAGATTTTATATTGGAAGAGAAATAGAGCTATTATTAGTTTCTGTTCATGTAGCAACAAAGGAAAACAAAAAGTCATGTAAGAAATACCAGCATTTGCACAATAAATTAATTCTCCCTCTTCCCTGGTACCAGAGTCCTTACGACCCCTAAACTTTGAATCACAAAAGCTCCAATAAACCTTCATGTGTGGCTACCAGGTTGTGTTCTTAATTGTGTTCCAACTGAGTTTCAAACATGTTAAATATCCCCCATGCAATCTGAATCAGACCCTTGTCTTTCCTAGGTTACAAAGACTCAAAGAGCCAACCATTATCATTATGTTACCTGAGATCACTTAACTCTGTGGCTTTCACGTAAGACGTATAGGCCCATGGACACCAATGCCAAAGAATAAGTTTCAGGGCTTTTTTTGCAGAAACATTGCATCATCCATCAACATGAAGTATTTACTAACTAAACATACTCTAAAATAGTTTTTGTTGACTAAATCTTTCATAGGTCCTAAAATAGTTTTTGTTGACTAAATCTTTCATAGGTCATTCATTGTCTGGTAAGAGCACAAAGCTAAGAGGACCGCGTTAGCATGTACTGGACTCCCAGTAGAGCTACTTGCTTTGCCACGCCACATGGCCATAGCTCTCCCATCTCTAGTCCTACAGGAATCCATCATCTCTGTTGGAATAACTCAAAATACAAGGTCTTGGTGGCAGGTTAGAAACATGGTCCTGTTTTGTGCTCGATAACACAATACTATGTTTTGAAGTTAAGCGGAAAATGGTAGGGGTTGTCAGTAACCCAGAAAAGAAAACAGGTTGTTCAGGCAGAAAAATTAAGAGGATCTAAATTAAACTGGAAATCGTCCTATTGCCTCAATCTTCTCCCTAACTTTATCAATAAAAACCTGATTTCCCTCACTTCATTCTGGAAACTGACATTGTAACAAATGAAATCTATAGGTTGCATAGAATGAGGGTAAAATTACTTTTATATGGTATCTGTTGGAAAGAATAAAAGGAGCACAGCAATCCTGAATTCAAATTTGAGTTTTGTAAACAACTAAATAATAGTATGTGATACTATGGAAATATATTACGTGACAGGGAAGAATTAAAGAAGTTGTCATTAGAACATGTGGGATTTATGTTACACATAAATAAGCAGTCATCTAAGAGGACTAACCCGGAGTTTTTCACGAAATGAAAAAGAAATAAACAAAGGGTTGAATAGGACAATGAAGACTGTATTACATCCAGACAATAAGGAATTGTCTTTTTATTTGCAGGGCAAAAAAAAAAAAAAAAAAAAAAAAAAAAACTTTATCTGTGGTGATAGAAAGTTCAGGGTAATATATATGGAAGCATGCAGTGAAAAATTGTGGAAGCAACTATCTAAGAATATAAATATAGTCTCTCTTTTCATAAATATTCAATACGTTATTTGACACATTGGTTTGAGTGAAGCTCCACAAGTACAATTTTAAGCATCTTGATTTGGGCTGAGGTCCAGTAAATTATATATTCCCAACAACTATCAGAGCTCTCTCACTAAAAATACATGCTCACACTCTACTTTGAAAATATTCTAAGATAATTATTTCCATTTTCATAGTAACTAGTACAGTTATGACTAGCGTCGTCTCAGGTTTCTAAGGAAAGAAAATTATTCTGAGATACTGTTAATAAGAGAAAATGTGGTAATAGAGAGGGGCATTTTCTTAAAATTGTGCTAAAGCTGTCATTTTTATTTTTAATGACTTTAACTGTGCTAGACAAGATTTTATTTTCAGCTACAGAAATAAAACTATCCAACATAACTCTTTAGTCTGCTGCCCACCAATCTTCTAGCCCCTCCCATGTTAACCTCACAATGGGTTTAATTCAGTTTGAAAGCATAAAGGCAACATTTAGCAAACAGAATTCTCCTGATTGACAATTGCTCATCCCCCTCTGTGAGAAGATTCAGTGAATGGTAACACCTAGGAAGGAGGCTGATAGAATTTTCTCTCTGTTGATGCCAAGGAAAGTCACTTGAAATCTTGTTTGATGATAATGGTAAAGGCAAAGAATTTTGGAAGGTTTATTTGCCAAAGTCCGTAAAACCATGTTTAAATGTAAGAGAGGTTTTAATATCAGACTTTCCGTCACTCCGATGTACAAGAAAAAAGACACGGAAAGAAATATAAGAATTATTTCAACTGGTCCCCTCAAATAGTCTCATTTGATGACTACCTTTCCAAGCATTGCTACATTTATAGCCAAATTATGCCATATTACCCCAGGGGACTGACTGCTTAGTGCTTATCACGTAGTGCTATATTAGTGACGTTTTAAAAGACAAATGCCCAAGAATGAATCTAAAGCTTTTTGATTTGAGGTTATCAGACTGAATTTTATCTAGGGTTATTTCCACATTATTCTACAGTGAAAAAGAGAGTCAACTTCCACCTCTTTTCAGGTGATAACTCAAATAAGGCATAGAAATATGCACACTGGGACAACAGAATTAGCTTTTCCTTTCGTGTGCATGAGATTTTCTCAGTTCCAGTTACTTTATAAATGCATCATAGACTCAAATTCATCAATTCTTTGCTTGGTATTTCCCTTTCTGATTTTCCGATAGGATATTGTATTGTATCTGGAATAAGCATTTCTGGAGATGTCACTCTTCTTTCCTAAGGTTGGCTGCTCATCAGGGGTCACGGCTTGGGAACTGGCACTGCTCAGTGGGGAGTCCTCACTTGCATCACCTTCCTCTTTAAATTGAGAAACCTCTTCATGTTTTTTCTTAAATTCTATCACTCGAACTTCATCTTCATCATCAACATCATTATCATCATCATCATTATTAATTTCTTCATCCCAAGCCTTCTGCTCCTCATCATGTTTAGAATGTAACATGTCAGCTTGGCTAGGTTTTCGAAATCCCAGCCATTCAATTTCAGCTGCCTGATGAGCTTTGTTCTTCCTGTCCTCATCTTGTTCCTCTTTGAGACGTTGTTCAGCAATCCTTTCCTTCTGTCTTCTTATTTCCTGACTACTGCCACTCAGAGGAATCCTCTCCCACTGACACCCTGTAGCAAAATCAATTGGTAGATGAGATGTGTAGAGGTTCCAAAATACCCAGCCATTCGTCCGTTATTCTCCAAATAATTTTTTTGATGATCATTTCCCAACACGTGTTTTATGGGATGTGATTCTGCAGGTTACCAATATGTTTTGCACAAACAGACTACACAGCCAAATTAATTTTGAAAACACTGGATTAAATACAGTTAAATAAGCATCTTCAGAATTCTTACACGCCTTTGAAATGCAAATGAGTATTATGAATCTGTAAGAAAGTCAGCAACCTAACTTCGTTTGTCTATGGAACTCTGTTGTGGACTACTGTATTTAGTGAGACTGATATTCCCTGAGACACTTAAAAAAAAAAATCTTATCTAGTGTGACACAACTGGATGTGTTCACATGTAAAATGAAATATTTGGACATCTCTCTCTCCCACATATATACACACACACACCTTAAAGAAAACTAGAAAAATATTTCAGAAAGAAAAAAAAAAATCATCATTTCCAATACTGAAATGATAACTGTCCGTGTCTGGTCACTTTTCAGACAGCTAGATCATACCAGCATATCCTCAGGGATATTTACTGAATATGATAAGGATTAATTGTAAGGAAACTGAGGTAGTTCTCTGAGCCTTCATCCCTGCAAGACCTCTGTGGGAGGTTTCCATCTGTGGTATACATGACTCAGAAATCTGTCTGGGTTACACCCCGTTTCAGGCCTGAGTTCAGCATTTTCTTTTGACACCATGAGGGTCTACAAGGAGAGAGGCAATGTTCCTCTTTGTCTCTTTCCTCCACAATATTCTACTCTCTCTGAGAGATGCTCACAAGTCCATTTACATCCAAGGTGTTTCGTTCTCTTTTTATTTGTTGTTGTTTTCTCACTCTAGGGAATAGATTGCAAATTTACAGAGCTAGAAGTAAAGATGGTGGACGCCCTAATTTTTTTTATAAACAGCTGCTATCAGGTCACTATATCCCATCAATGTTGCTAACAATATCCACAAATACACATTAGAATGTTTGCTATAATCTTATGCTTTGTTTTGTTTTATTTTGTTTTCCGCAAGAACCAACGTGATATTTTGTTTATATTCATGACTCAGGCATGAGATTGTCACATATAAAATTACTCTTTGAATTTAAATTATAGTTTTTCCTCAATATTTTTAGCATCTTTATATGTTTTAATCCAGTAACATTCTTTTTGAAGATTTTATAGCTGTTTGCCACTGTGAAAATAAAAGACACCAAAATCTGTGTTTCTGTTATAGAGGAAAAGCATACTTCATCAAACAGCAAAGAATTCATTGAGGGAAAACTCAGCTAGTGAGACCATCTAACTAAAAACTACAGACTGATTTCAGTCTCCATCTGATGAAAATGAGAGATCCTTGAACACTGCTATCTGCAATGGACTCCTGATCAAACATTTAAAAGGGTCTCTACGTGATAGAAGGTTGAGATCTTGCTGCTGAGAGCTTGTTACATTGGAAGCAGAAAAGTTAGGGCAAAGAGGTTATTTAGTTTATAATGTAGAGTCTTAAGTCTTAAAAATTATCTCTGGTGATGTAACAGCTTGACACTGGCTATTGCTTGCTACATATTTCCTTAAGTGTTGATACATCAGTAGGCAGACACAGTATGAGAAGTGTTCAAGCAAAGGGAGCAGGTGTAGGAAATAGCCAATCACATTCTTGTCCTCCTTGACATCTACTATTTTATGTAACGTTCTAGTATCTCAGCCAATAGTCTCCAATATTTTGCCTGTTAAAGTCCTAACAAAGCTAAATTGGTTAGGTTTAACAAGCTAACTTCAATTTTGAGATAAGATGTGTATGGCTGCAAGAGAGGAAATAAATGATTAATTAATAGATTTTATCCTACACACTATTTGGAAACTGTTTAAATATAGATGTCTTCTTGGAAGAAACATCTAAAGAATTTTCTGTCTTAGTCTATTAAGTTTATTTAAAATTTAATATAGTCACTTCAAAATTCCTTGTATTCTTCCGTTTTCTTAAAGAACACAATTAAAGTTAACTTTATTACCCTGTCTTTCGTTGACACGAAATAGTTAACCATTTTGTACTTACTTTAGAGGCCTATAAAGGAAATCATTTTATGAGATTACTTTAAACTGTGTGTTGGCCAGGCACGGTGGCTCACGCCTGTAATCGCAGCACTGTGGGAGGCTGAGGAGGGTGGATCAACTGAGGCCAGGAGTTTGAGACCAGCCTGACCAATATGGTGAAACCCCATCCCTAATAAAAATACAGAAAAGTTAGTTGACCATGGTGGTGGGCACCTATAATCTCAGTTACTCAGTAGGCTGAGGCAGGAGAATTGCTTGAACCCGAGAGGCTGAGGTTGCAGTGAGCGGAGTTAGCGCCATTGCACCCCAGCCTGGGAAACAAGAGTGAAACTCCATCTTCAAAAAAAAAAAAAAAAACCTGTATGTTAATTGTAGACTTTTAGGAAAGAACTATTTTTTAAACATTTACATTTCACAAGGTGCACACACAGATTTGGACACACCAAATCAAAAAGAAGGTTGACTTAGTGGACTAACATTAAGAGACAGACATCACATTGGTATGCCAATTAGCTATGCCAATCCATGCAGCCTCAACCTTGAACAATCTGGAATGCTTTATAACGTGGAACCCAGAGATAGGTTAAGACTCTCTTATCTGCCTACAGCAGCTTTGAAAATTTGAAGTCATTGCCTGGATTGTTTTGTCAATGCCACGCTCATGCAGCATTTCATGGGAAAACTGTCATCCATATTCAGTCAAACAATTTCTGTGTACAAAACTGTAGTTCTTGTTACCTTCTCTGAATGTCATTTCATCGGCACTTGTTTCTTGGAGAGAAAGATCTTTGATAGCCTTATGAACAATAAAGAGTTTCTTTTCTGGATTTTCTGGAAAAAAATACAAAATCAGTATTTCAACATTTGAAAAAATATATTGTTCAACAGTTAAGAAGTTATCAATTTAAGGTCCAGGTGGATTTCTTTAATTTCAAATCTGATCACTAAAAATTAGTTTGACTGTTCAGATTCATTCTTTATTGATTCAGTTTATTTGCTTAATGATCACTTTATTGATTGATAATCTCTCCTTTAATTTTTATATAAGATATATATATATTGCACCATAAATTCATACAACTTCAGGTATATTTAGAAGGAAATTTTAAAATGTTGAATTCTCTTTGTTCAAATAATAATGGGGCTACCCATAATCATGATAAATAACAGTAGTCAACATTTATCCAGTGCTTACTTGATACATGTAGGTGTTATTATTATAATTATTCTGCCTTCTTCGAGTGAAAAAAACTCAGACTTTGAGAGACAGAAAGTTATCTGGAGTCACAGAGCTGTCAAACAGACAAGCCTGGATTTCACCAGAGAGAGAGGTTTAGTCCATATGCTATGCACAGTAGAATAAAGGGCTACATTTTGGGGGTCTCCAGCTCATTCCTGTAACAGTTTATAAACAAAAAAATCCATGGTAAGTTTATAAGTCAAAACAAGAAAATTAAGGAGAAGGGAAAAACTTTACCTTTTAGAATTTTCTCCTCCATGGATGAGTTGAGCAGCATGTTCCCTTGTAATTTTCCTCTTTCCTCCTGATTTCCTTCAGTGGGTACAACTTCGAGACTGGGTTCTACCCTATAGTGTGGCAAGGGGCTGTCCACATCAGTCAATTTTTCACAGGTTTTAGTGATTGCTTGTTGACCATTTTCAGGTGGTTTATCCCCATTACACTCAGCCTGGGTAAATGTAGCTGGAACATCTGTCATGATGTGCAGTTAAATCCGATCTGGAGAGAGAGCGTTAGGGAAACTGAGTGAGTAGATCCTCGATAATACACCTGCTCTTGCCTTCAAGTCCTACGGTTCCAACAGCTACTCTAAGAGTACAAATTATTCACTTTGGTACGTAATAAGATTCTTTTCCTAAAGGTATCCAGACAGAGCTTAGAGCAAAGAAGCAGGAGGATTTGTCCTATTAGTCAGGAGCCATGAGCAAGAGTCCAGCCAATCACCACCTTCTTTGTTTCTTGCCAGCCCCCTTGCAGAGTTAAAGGCACCCTTTTGATTTACATAAACAAACAATCTGAAGCAATCAGGCTTTTGTGTTGGCATGCAGAGAGGGACTTTCAGCTTGTCAGTTCCCCTCTGGGAACAGAGATTTTTGTCCCTTTTCATAATGGCCCATTGTAATTTTCCCTGTAACAGGAGCCACAATTGTCCCACAGCTTTAATCCAGAGAGAATGACCACCTTGAGGCATATTAGTTCTGTGTAACCAGCTTAACATTTCCAAACAGATTTTGTTCAAGTAAAACCTCAGCTATTTTGTTAAGGACAATGGCATCGTTTCTTATTTATTACAAAATAAAAACAGCTTATCAAAAACCTATAAACAGGAAAACTATACTGTAAATGGTTCTGGCTGCAGATTACATGGCCTGCTTTCAGCAAGCTGGAGAAGGGACCTATGAAAAAAACAAATTCTACCAGCTCGCTAATATCAAAAGTTTTACAATTTCAGAGTAATTTACTTAATCTATCGTTTCTTATCCTCTAGTTTATGTCCACTGAAGCCCAACCGATCCTTTCAAATCCTAGTAAAATTATCACCATGAAGTTTTCTCCTCCCTCAATCAGAATTAGAAACCTCTCTATTCCATACTGTTATTACATGATGCTAAAATGTAGGGGACCAGTGCAATCTCTCCTTGGGAGAAACAGGTTAAATGTTAAATACATGCTACTGACCATCTCTTCCTTTTTAATTATTTCTCTTTCTTGGATCTCTCATAGTACAAAATGGCTCCAGAGTCTTTGCCCACACAGCTCCTATGTGAAATGCCCTTCTCCTCCTCAAGCCCGAGTCTTTGGCCTAACCAGCTCTGTCTTTAAGCTTAAATATCATCTCTTTAATGACACCACATAATTAGGGCAGGATTAGGGCAGGACTCTGTTACAAATTGTCTTTGCCCTTCAGAGTAGTCTTCATGGTTGTAACTAAATAAGCAACTGCACAATTATCTCCATAATGTTTGTTTCACCAACTACAATCTAAGCTTTATCTGGCCAGGGGCCATTTTAACTTCCTTACATGTGTCCCTAGCACTTAGCATCTGGCTTGAAATAGTAGCATGCAATAAAAATAATTTTATATATTTATATATATACACACACATATATGTAAATATGTATATATTATATATATATATAATTAATAAATTTTATCCCCAAGAGAATACATTTCAGATCATTTTTAAAGGGACGAAGAATAGGGGTTGGAGAGTTGTAGTTAGTGTATCGCCTTTAAAATTGTATCTGGGGCTGAGCCCATTAGGGTCTACTTCAGGGACACCACCACACTCTTGCATAATCCCCTCTCCCTTGTCCTTAGGAGACATATCTAATAGATCCTAGATCTCCCTCCCTCGTACTCACCCGCCCTTCTCTAGTCAGCACACGAATTCTATGTTTGATTGTTTAGTTGTTTTAACACTCATATCACACTTATGATGTGCAAGTTACTGTCCTAATTGACTCAGAAATAATAATACATTTAATCTTCCTAACAGTCTTGTGAGGTAGGTACTGTTGTTATCTCCACTTTACAGACTGAAAAATTGAAGCGCAGAGAGATGAAGGAGCTCGGCTGGTAAGATCACACAGCCAGCAAGCCTGCTGATGAGAGTCTGCAGCACACATGAAGCTAAGCACCAGCCCTGGCCTGTGTGCAGATGTTTCCTTCCGCCAGGGATCCCGCCGGGATTCGGCATTAGCACCTTGGCGGTAGAGACAGTTGTGGCCAGGAGAGAGCGGCAGAGAGCCTAAGGCAGTCTTAAGGCCTGCCCCAGAGGCACGCTGCCGCTGCTGAGGATCCTGTTGTGGGCGTGTCTTCCCCAAAAATTCAACTAGTAAGCTTACTGTTGAGAAAATATTGAGTGGAATCATATGGGAGAATGCAGAGCTAAGACCAAGCTTACAAACAAATAGGAACATACTAGATTGTGAGATTCTTAGGGCTGGAAGTGGCACTAATTCAACCAAATGCCCTGCAATAAATAAAGTATAGAAATGCATTAGCTCCAAAGGACCTGCCTCCAATTACTCCCAATTCCCTCAGGGCTGCCAAGTACCTCAGTCCAGGGAGACAGCACAGTTGAGAGAGGTCAGATTCATTGTCCCTCCTACTCCTAGGTCTCTATCACCCCATGACAGCATGTACTTCATACCTACAGCCTAGAGTTTATGGGAATTCATGACTTTATTTTTGGATTGCCTTCTTTCTAACACCATGCTCTGGCATTTTTTATGGCCTTAAAATTATTTCAGATTTGGAAAGATAGAAAAATGATATGGGGTTCTGTAGCCTTGGCTAACCATGTGTTTACTTTTATTTAAAAACATGCTTTTATGTTGCCCTAGGGAATCATGGAGTTCAGGTAAATGGTTTGTAACATGCATTATTTTTTCCTACAAGTAGACATCAACGTGAGACACATTTAGCAACAAGATGAGTCTACGGAACTGCCAGATAAAACATGGGCTACTTTGTTCACAAAGAGGTAAGTTGTACCCCATTATTTGTAACAACTTCTGATTTAGAAAGTATGGAAAAATTTGCACTATGATCCTTACTTCAAATACAATTGCAGAATGTTCACTCTATAAAACATAACTTGTTTTATTTTGTGTAGTTTACTGGATCATTTGACTTTTGCCCTAGTTACTATCCTTTTTTTGTGAGACGGAGTTTTGCTCTTTTCGCCCAGGCTAGAGTATAGTATCATAGTCTCAGCTCACTACAACCTCTGCCTCCTAGGTTCAAGCAATTCTCCTGCCTCAGCCCCTTGAGTAGCTGAGATTACAGGTGTGCACCACCATGCCTGGCTAATTTTTGTATTTTTAGTAGACACAGGGTTACTCCATGTTGGTCAGGCTGGTCTCAAACACCTGGCCTCAGGTGATCCACTTGCCTTGGCCTACCAAAGTGCTGGGATTATGGGTGGGAGCCACCACACTCTGCTGCTAGTTATTATTCTTAATGCCAAAAGATATTGCATAAATGTAATCATTATTAAATCTATAAATCAAAAAAAGATAATGAAAAGATCTTCATATGAAAATGTAAAGAATCAAAATTATGTAAATATTCACATTCCATTTGTCCAATGTCAAATGCTTAATGTTAAGGTTATTTTAAGTCCAGAATCAGGATTTGGGGAAAAGTCATAAAATCTTGGTCTTTAATCTTAATCCCATGTGAAAAGCCAACCCACAAGCTAATGTTATGGCTAAGAGATGGCCACTGAGCACTGAATAAAAGCAAGAAATACATTTAAAAGGAAAAGTGTTGATCCTGGAAGTTTGAAGTCAGTCTTATACAAACATTGACTTACATAGTTAGGACAGGGGTATTGTTTTGATTAGGTTTGAAACGGAAAGGTAGAACCACTAAGAGATGGAGCAATCCATCTGTCTATTGATCAATCAGTGGATCAATTGGAAGGGATTTGACTTTACACAACAGCGGGTACCAGTGAAGCTGTCTCCACGTCTTCTGTTACATCTGATGCCAGAGCGTGAAGTCTGCAGGGCAGGAAATTGGGAAGGGAAGACGGATAGAAACGTAAAGGGGGAGAGCAAGAACAAGCTGGGTTCCCAGGTACAAGCTGGACACACGGTGGCACACTGAAACCTGTGTCAGCTCTCAATGCCTCTGACCATGGCGTTCTGAATGTCCTTCCAAAGAAGTTGGGCCCAGGAATCATGGAAGCTGGAGGAAGATCCAGGGAGGTGGAATTGTTGCAGGCCCAGCTGCTGCCCACGCACCAGTTGAGGCAACAGATGGGCAGCAGTGTGTGCCAGCTACAAAATAGCTGCTTCACTTCTGCCCCACCAAGCTCACAGAACAATGTTTACTTTGTCTCACGTTTCTTCTTCAGGAAACATTCAGGAAAGGAAATTCAGGGAAATGTAGTTTAACCTAGTCAGACTGACACAGGACAGTCATAATCCTACCAATAGCCCACAGAAGCTCGTGTAAGGAATAGAGCAATGCCCCAGGGAATGTGCAATCCTAAACACACCTGAGGAGACAGGATCATTGAATTAGTTCATTTCAGGGATTAAAATTCCAAATTGAAGGTAATATCCCATCTAAAGTGAACTGTTGCAGAAATACAGACTACCAGAACATAATAAAATAAATCAACAGCCATATATTTTACTTTACAAAACAATAATTGCCTGCCACCTAGTACAAAGCATAAATCAGATTAAATTGATTATCCTGTGCCATGTTCACACTTTGCTTTTACTTTTATGCTGAGAGTGGAATAATGGCTGTCATTCTGATTATACAGTTTCCTGAAGTAAATAATGGTTTCTGCCGGGAAACCAATAGTGAAGTCTATGGGTAGCTCATGAGTATTAAGGATTTGATGTAACAGAATTTCAAAATTTAACTGCATCTTATTAGAACCATGCTTTTCAATGTTGGAGGCAGGGGAGGGGAGAATTATATGTTCTCCATCTAGAGATAAAATATTTCTTATTCCCCAGGAAAGGTATATCTCCGTGGTTCTAGCGTCTAGAGCCTGGCCTTCTAGTGAACACCATTTTAAAGAAAAGTATGAGTATTTCGGGAGGATTAGAGGAGAGTATGGCCCTGAACATAGGATCCTGTGGCCAAGATGGGCCGAAGTGGAGGCTGGGAGGGAGAGTGCTAACCAACAGTTAAGAATCCCCATAAAATAGAGGACAGACGAGCATTCTCATCAGTGACCCTCACAGGGTAGAGAGACTCAGCCTGCTCCTGTGTGACCTTGGGCAAATGTACAAAGCAGGCATGTTTGGGTTACAGATTACAGAAACTTAATTCAAAGAATCATAAACTCTGACTGCAATAGCTAATTTGACTGGTAAGTTCAGAGTTGGCTTTGTACTTGTTTGGATCCAAAGATTTAAACAAGGCTGGGCACCATGGCTCACACCTGTAATCCCAACAATTTTGGAGGCCAAGGTGGGTGGATCACCTGAGGTCAGGAGTTCAATACGAGCCTGGCCAACAA